AATCTTGTTAAATTATAACCTATATTAATATTCGTCCATTGGAAAAACTCATTAAGTGACATTTTATAACATTAAATCACTAAAACTTCGATGAATTTCCTCTTTGTTAAACTAGAAAATTGTGCGCAACAAGCGCACCTTTTGTATATGAAATATAGATACAGTAACTATATTTCATATACAAAAGGATTTTTGTCATTTTAGTTCCTGTCTTTTATTTATAGATAAGATCGAAATTCTCAAAAACGTTCTTGAGATTTCAGCTCCATGAAATGTAGATGTAGCTGACTTTTACTTTGTGGTACATACCTCTTTTTATCGAACTATTGACATCCTCCTAAAACATCATCTTCAGCTTATCGTAACATGCAACTTTTTTATTTATGAAAATTTTGGGAAATGGGGCGTTTTCAATCTGGAGTTCGGTAATCTTGGTATATTTAATGAGGTACTAAAAACTCATAAACATCCATTTGCTATCCGCACAAAGTGTAAGATACTATAAGACATAAATTGATCGCGAAATCGAGAAAAAGGGTAGCCTACATAAATAATACACCGTTTGGCGTCACCTTCAACCCAACATATCAAAATAACGATCTTATATAGGCTAGTCTAAAAGGTCCTATATTTTTTTTAGGCCATTTTTTTTCTTTCTCATTTTCGATTTTGTGATCAAATTATCTTACGAAAGGATTGGAAAGTAAATGAATATTTAATTTTTTTATTGCACGTTTTTCAGATTTTTAGTGCACCAAGATCTCAAGGTATTAGTTTTTTTTTTATCTACAACAATTCTCAGATATTACAGTTTTCTCATAAATTAATTAGTTTTATGGTGTACTAAAGACTCATGAATATCCATTTGATATCGACATAAATCGTAAGATGATCTGATCACAAAAACGAGAAAAAAAATGTTGCCTAAAAAAATATTGGGTCATTTGGCGTGACCTCCACCTCCAGTATGTCAAAATAACAAGGTTATGTAGACCAAACGGCCCAATATTTTTGTCGGTCACCTTTTTTGTCCGATTTTTTGACCAAATTATTTTACGATACAAGTGGAAGGAAATTCAATAAGAATACCTCCCCCTCTCTCCCTCTCTATTTCTGATAGATGAAGCTCTTCACGAAGTGTTAGACAGATGTTAATAATTTGAAAAAAAGAATCAATAGATAATATCCCATGTGCGTTGTCTCCATTTAGTTCATCTGGAAAAAACTTATATATGTGTTCCATATTTAATAATATATTTCTTCTATCTCACTTCTTAATTTGAAGTTGCTTGATTCTGGATTCTTCCATTTCTTGTTTGGATTTTCATTAATTCTCTATAAATAGAAGAATAGATGGCTGTAAACCCTACTGTCCTTGATGACGGCAATGAATATGATCCGTTGGATAAATATGAGCCGTATATACAGGACCTTTAACGTGTAATTTAAAATTCTCTTTACTTGCCTCTTTGGATAATCAGACCTGTACTGCTAGGAGGCATGCAAGTATAATTATATCGAGATTGCTCTTCGTACAACAAGGCGCAATTTCCTCACCTCTCTCTCCAAGCAATTCAGGTCTTATTATCCAAAGAGGTTAGCGCAAACAATATTGGCAACTGTAAATAATTTCAAGTAACACCATCCTCAGTGAAAAGTGGCGTTTTCTCTTTAAATGAACTGTTATTTTCTAATAGATTTCTAATGATTGAGAAAAGTGTGTACATGTTTTATACATCTTCGGAAGTATTAAATTTTTATTTTTATTTCACTTTTGGTTTTTAAATATTTAAAATTTAAATTTCAAGAAAAAGAAACAAACATGGGATAATGGTTCTCTGTTATCATATTAGGCCCTTCCGGGAATACCTAGTTCTGGTAAATGATTGTGGTTAGGGTTGGTCGGACATCAATGTATGTATGAAAAGTTGAACTTTCGATATTTTTAAACATTTTTAGATTCTAACTTCCTACAATAAAGGAAATTATATAATTTATCGGTATACATTTCCTTTCTTAATCTTTCTTAATTACTAACGCTATGAATGGAAAGTAATATATTATATATAGAGTGCGCTTTTATCAATAACTTAGTTTTCTTTGATAAGTTATCAATTTTTAGGCTGATTAGCTCATTTTGATATTTTCGTCATTGTTATAGCATTTGTACTGTGAGAGATCCGTTACCAAATGTTTGTCATATTAATCGGTTTCGCCCTAAAAGTTGGTAGAGATTGGTCAGTTTTCTCCTTTTTTTAGCCTACTTATAATAAAGCATTCCTTCTATGTTAGTCTATTTGGAGGCAGTCAAACACGATTGTACTCTTTGCTCAGATGAAGGGGGTTGAATTTGAATTTCTATTTTTCTTCACCTTACTTTTTATCTTTTGTTTCTTTTCTTCATTGAGAAACATGGATCTTAAATGAGAAGAACCAGAGCTATTGTCTCCTTTTGCTCCTTCATCAGCTCGGCGAATGATTACTATAGTGAGTTATATAGTATAATAAAATAAAAAATATTACTGTGAAACGGACAGGAATGTAAAATAGACATCGAACGGTGTTTTCAGCATATCCATGGTCATAGACTGATTTATCTTTTTCTTTTTTTTTAATCAGGCAACAAACACCTGAGATGTGCAAGGATGAAGGTGTAAATCATCAATAGACTTAGTAAATAGATTATAAATTCACAGGCCATCTGCATCTCAAAAGATAATATTTATGTTTACTGGTAATATACAGCTGTTCAGTTCATGACATTGTTAATGAGAAAGCTTTGCCTGAGAAATATTTTATCAATATCCGTTACAACTTTATCTTTTCTTTAGGCAATAAAAATAGTTATTGTGATGAAATAAATTTTATTCACAAATCTAAATAAAAATAAAATACATCATAAGAATCCATTGGGTTTTGTTATCTATTTCGTTTAACATGTTATTATGATAACAACATCAAAATAAAAAATATTCCAAAAACTTCCACTGCACTCCATCTATTTATTTAATTTCCTTTTCGACATTTTTTATTATTAATAATTTAATGAAAACTATTTCCGTGGTTTAAACCGTTTTAAAAGTCTCATAATAGCGTGTTTGTTTTTTCTTTAAAAATAAAATAAAAATAACCTAATGAGGAAAGAGCATAAAAATCATTATTATGCTTACCCAACTGAAAACCGGTTTTATTTTTATTTTTTATTTAAAATTTGATAACGTGATTAGGAGTGCCCAGACAACTTAAAACTGGTTATTCTTCTTCGTAACTGTTGTTTTATTATTTTTCTTTCATTCTTTTGTACTCTGCATTTATAATAGTATTCGTTATTTAAACACATAAATACTATTAAAATTTTTTATTATTGTTGTTGCTTATTAAATGTATGTACCATATGTACTTTTTAAGTGTTAATACGAAAATAACTACTTCTTTTTCAACTTGATTAATTTCAAAATGTACATTACAACATTTTATCGTAGAATAGTTCTAATGATTCATATTTCGTTTGTTATTAGAATTTCATTTTTCAAAATATACATTTTTTGCAAGGGAGGGAGGGATTGTTCTTAGAAAACATCTTAAGATCACAACTCAACCAATTCGTTACCCGAAAGATTAACCCTTTACTTAATCTCGAAGATTGCTTAATTGCTTATTTAATTTCAGTTAGGTTATTTTCCAAACATTATAAGACCTAAGTTTGAAACCTCACCCTTCCAGAAAATTTAAGATTGGCGAGAATCGATTGATAAATCGACATATTATCTTTAAAATAAAGGTAATTAAGAATTTATTGTGTATATCCATTCCTATATCAACTGTCATTTAATGCCTAAATCTATAAAAGCTCCAACAATAGAATCATTGTTGCACCTGTGAAATCAACCTGTTTTTGGTTAGAGGAGGGAAAAGGAAGATAATGAATAATAGAAAAAGAAAAAAAGATTGAAAACTTTATAATAATCGTGGATACTGTTTAATTATTGTAAACTGGGACCCAAGGGATTGGTAATTTGGAACCTGTGAATCTTCCCTTTATGACTAATACCCCCACCTTCTGCTGCCTCATAGTCTATGTTCTGAGGAAGGTCCTTTATTTGAATTCACAGAGCCTTGATTCATGGTTTGGCCAACCTCTGCATACAAACAAGTGGAGCCAAAACAACATAGGGTTAGGGAAAAATGATAGTGATGGCCTTAGATCTTAAAGGATGATGAAAAAACATTGCATCCTTACTGCAATATGGATTTAAGGACTGCCATTTATTTATTGGGAATCTGATTCATATTAGCAAAGTACATATTAAAAGAATTGGTTGCTGGTTTGAGTCCACATTTAATTTTAAATTTTGATGTGTAACTATGAATAATAATATTTATGTATTAACAATTAAGTATTTAGTTTTTCTAATTCACTTGAGTATTTTCTTACTTGTTGATAGATTTACATTTTAGAAAAAAAGTTCATCTACATTCTGATCGACCTACATTCTGTTTTATAGAAATCTATGTTTAAGGCACGAGTCTGCAATACTTCAATGAGTTATAATCCTTAATCGGGTCAACAAACATTTATAGCATTTGTCAATTTTTTTATTCTTTATATTACAAATTTATCAATATTTGGAGAAATAATTAAATTTTAATCTTTGAACCAGGTTACCTTCATATTACACTTCAATCTCCGAAATTTGTGAATAATTGCTAAATTATCATATTGTCATTTTTGGAAACCATTTTTAAATATTGCTATAAGAATGCGGCTGGAATGTTTATTTCTTTTAGCAATATTGATGGTAAAAAATCAGAAGTATTTTTTACTTTTTTGTTAACAGGAACTATTTTTATTTTTATTTTCATCTTCATTTTATTTTAAAATTACTACAACGTAATTGATTTTTTAATTTTTATATAATACATCCAATTCTTTGTATGTTGTACATCATATTTATCATTCAACAGAATAATAATTATTAGTTTTCTCATACAATATTGCTTTTTCAGGTATTGGATCTAATGACATCCATGAAAGAACTATCCCACCGGGTGAAAACTCCTATGACTCTTTGTCCTGAAATCTCTCCTTCCTCATCACATTTTTTTGAAGTAAGTACAATTAATACAAATTTGAGTTAACTAGTCTTGAGGGAAATAACTTACCTTGTTAAAAAAAACATAATAAGTTAACATTAGTTCAGTAAAAAAAGCTAGTGATCACTACTTTCCGGAGCAAATAATATTCTCCATAAAAATAATGAGTCAATAAAGAAATAATCTATACTAATTATTGTTGAAGTATTAAAATTGTTTATGTCTTTTAAGTCTCATTTTGTATTTTGTTTTCATCCTCTTTCTTTCAGGTTTTGTATATTGGCCGAATTAAGGTCTCCCATAAGAAAGTACCTGATAGTTTTATAGATGAAGCACTAGATAAATTTAAAATATTTGAAAAGCATAGAAAGGAAAAAGAAACTACAGTCCAGGTAATGTAAATTTGAAGTTGTGAACATGTTTGTAACATTAAGGTTGTCATGGAATGAGTACTGATTGTAGGTAAAACTACAAATCATGTGTTTTCATATAAATTAATGTTTCTATAATTTAGAAATTATGTGAAGAGTTGAGTTATTTTCATTTTACACTGTTTTTAAATCTTAATTATTACAATTGTTGACTGTTGTGGTGAACAACTATATGATTCATCTTTCCTAGTTATGGGATTGAAAATTCTTTTGATAATCAACTTAACTATTTTTTAAAACTATAAATAGTTATTAAGGATTCTCTGTAGTTGATTTTTTTTTTGTGCAATTGTAACTTTCTGTGTATATTTAATACATATTTTATATATACACTTTATACATATTTTGTCATAACTTATTTGCATCACTCATCTCTGTGATTTAATAGTGTTATATTATTGATAATAACCAATTCTGTGTTACTGTAATAATTGTCTGCTAAACTTGTGGACAAATTTTACTTTATTTTCTTGATAATAGTAGTGTAATGTTCTTTTACATGTTATCTTAATACATGAATATAAATTAATTCATAGTTTTATAAATTATAAAATATGTTGATTAATTTTTTTTCTTTAGACTTTCTTTTCACATTTTAATCAAAATTTCACCTGGAAACCTGGGATCAACTAGTATGCATATATAAAGATGAACACTTTTGCTGTTATGATTTGAGTGAAATTTTCAATAGTCTAAAACTTGATCCTTGATCATCTTTTTTTATTATAAAAGCCAATAATATATTTTAAATTATATAATATTGTTAGTAGTTAAATACAATCTATTAAGCATTTCATAGCATTATATTTAGTAATAATACTTACTTATTGAGAATTGTAGCTGCAAAATATAAATATATATATATATATATATATATATATATATATATATATATATATATATATATATATATATATATCACTGTTTTACCAATAGCAAGCTTTGAAATTTAATTTACATTGAGTTATGATTTTAGGATGAAGGAAAGCTGCTGAATGGTATAGATAAAAAGATTGCTTATTCTTCCACTGAAACGCTAACATCAGAAGAATCAACTCCTGATAAAGCAGAGTATGTTCGATCATATAATTAAATATATTGCATATAATTATATTTGTAAATTTTATTTGATAAGTATGTTAAGATATTTCAGCTTCCAAATCATGTAGTCTTTTCTTGAAAATTTCAATTTTTTATTAAAGGCGGATTTACATCCAGTGATCCTTCCAGTGTTGATCATACTTTTTTTACGTTCACTTACCTATATATGCAATATATAGTAAGGGTAAATATTTCGATCGTGAAGAAAATTTTCAAATCTGAGTTTTCAATGAAAATACATGTTTTGAGGTCTCCTGATAATAACTAAGCAAAATGCACTGTGTGTATGTATGTGATCAGTCTAGCTCAAAAACGAAAAGACGTATGAAATTGAAATTGCATATTTAAGGTTTTTATGAGCCTTCAATGTTACAGCAACATTTTCGTCAAAATCGTCAAAGCGGAAGTGGAAAAATCATATCATCGATTTAAAACATTTTTACGATTTTCTCAAAATCGGCTCTAACTATTTTGATTAAACTGAGTATTATTAGGCAGTATTTAATATGATGTATATTTTATTCTCATTGATGTTTTCTAACAGGGCTTAAATGGTTAATTTTCAATATTAGCTTCCTCTAGAGTACCTTTAATTTTTCTTATTTGAAATAATTAACCATTTCACATTAATCTTTGGTACAAAAAATGATTAAACATAAAATATAAAAGAATTTGTTAATTAACTGAAGGAGAAATAAGAGATCTTAACGGATAATTGTTGTAATACAGGAATCAAAGGAATATGAGCGTACTCGAGCTCGCCTGAAAGATTACAACAAGCTTCCATACGTAACATGAGCTTAATATAATACAGACTCCGATAATATTATGTACATACACATATGCGGTTTTCATAAATTTTATTGTTGGTATTATTTAATATTTAATTGTATAGAATTAAAATTTGCACATATAAGGGTATTTAAAGAAATAAAAATACCCGCAATGAAATGTAAATAAATATAGCGTCTATAATTTTTACTTTCACTTTCTCTTCGTTTGAAAATACTCATTTTTGCTAAGAGGGTGGGTGGTAAGTGAAAGTTGTGTAGTGCGAGCACCAGATTTTTCCTACTCATTACCAAGCACATATGACAACCCATTGAAAATGCTTCTCTGGCATTATATTTTATCTTGTTTCAGCCCAATTTAATTTACTTTTTTATTTTAAATTAAAATTAAATATATTGGGTTAGTTTATATATTTTGCTAACTTATCACCATCTCTTTCTTATGCTGCTTTATTGTTAATTGACGCTGACGGTTCTTGTATCTGTTTCCAGGTGAATAGCTTGACTATTATACATTCTTCCCATTGTGATATTTATGCAGTACGGAAATTGCAATTCATTCTGAACAAACGCAATATGTTTACCGAGATTTACTTGTAGGATACCGCATTGACGGCTCCCTCCCTGACCCTTCGTGCGAGATCATTGTAATCAGTGATGACAGCAGTCTCTCTTTACTTTCCCTGATACCAACAACTTTTTCCTAGGCTCTAGATGAGAAAGTCCGCTTGTCACTTTGGCGGCCTTGGCAGTGATACAGTTCATGTGTTGCTTTGAATTAATCATGAACCCCATTCTTCCTTGACAAATATAATTGAATTGATTGTACCTTGGTACTTGCTCATTGACTGTGAATTTGATGATCCCCATTACTTACTTCCTCCCCAAATATACTTCTGCATCTGATTTTTGTTTTTGAAATTGAGAATTAAAGTATTGAAAAGCCAATTCAGTATATTGGCTTTTGTTTTGAACTATATTTATTGGACATATATTTCTTTTCATGCAACTTCTTCAGCATCTCAGTATCTTTTCTCTACTATATTCCTATATTTTAGCTATTATAATTTGGAATAAATTAATATTTAAAAGAAAAAATGCTGTTCACAAGTTCTAAGGGAGATGTTTTTAATGAGGTATATGTAAATCCAAAACAGTTTGTCTCTCCCATAAATTTCTTTTATTAATTTGTATGTGACGTTTCGGGATTTATTTTATCCCATTTTCAGACTATTTATTAATAATAAATTTATTATAATTTATTATTTATTTATTTATTATCTTTATATCATCTCATATCTCATAAGACTTGTAATTTTTTTGACATGTTGACTAGGCTCTCCCTAGAGAAGGGTCCACATTAAATTTATGGGAGAGAAAAACTGTTTTAGATTTTCATATACCTCACAAAAAATACTTTCATTAAACTTACTATTAAATTTACGTAGTATAAGTATTAATGAAAGATCAGTCTTAGTAATATTCAACATTCCTAATATATGTTTTTTTTTTCTTTTAGGAAGGATGTGGTAGCAAGGCGTAGGTCTGGTTCATTGGGAACTGTCATTCCTTTGTTAAAAAAACAGGAATATTTGGTAATATTCAATTATATTTTAAATACAAAAATAATTGTTTTCTATTTTTTTTTATTTTGTTTTTTTTTAAGATCTTATTATAATTTATTTTAAAGGATGTATCATTTTGTATTATTAAACTTGTTTTGTATTTATGTTATATTTATTAAATCTAACTCAGATATTGGACATGCCATAAAACATATATACACATAATCCACTTAAAAATTTATCTTAAGTTATATTTAGTAATCATGAATTAATTCTTCATTATTATAGTTTCCTGACATTTCATTTTCTCACAAATATTTAAATTTCTCTTCTGTAATTAATTTATTTATTTTTAATTTGTGAATTTTTAGACCTTGAGATTTTTTTTTTATATTGTGTTCTTTAATGATTAGGGATCGAAAGAAAATGTGAACCATGAACACAATAGGACCATGGTTTTCCATGTTGGCAGAAGTGATTTAAGACTGATTTCCCCTGATAGAAAGCAAGTTCTTCTTCACAAATATCTTCGAGACATTAGTTCAACGCTTCAGGTGATTATTAGATTATACACTATAAATAAAGAAGTGATATGACATATAATATTTAGATTATATTCAATAATAACTAAATCAATGAGTAATGACTAGAGACTGATAAATCTATTAACATTCCAAAGGTCGCTAGCCTTAGAGTCACATGAAAAGTTGCTATAAGATCCACTTCACTAAATCAATTTATTAATCAAAAATACCAACAAATGTCTTATTGTCTTGAAAGAAAAAGATATAAGATAAGTTTTTAAATATATTTACTGAGTAAAAAACACAGTTAGATAATTTAAAAAAAAAAAAAAAATACGTTAACAAAATTAGAAACTCGAGCATTAAATTCTGTATACCATTAAATACGAACATAAAAATCGCTGAATACTATTATTATAATAGGATTAAAGAATAATTAATATAAACCTCATCACAACATGAACATGAGCCTCTATTAGAGCCCTCCGATTTTTCATCAATTGGCACATCTGCTCCAACTGAATAACAAGATTGGCAGTTTCTGACAAACTCTTCGAATATACCCCGGACAGGTGCCAGTTGGACTATTTCTTTACTTTGTTGGTATGTTTCTTGGTCATCAAATGTTAGTGATCAAAGTAAAAATCGAAGCTTTCGTAAACTCATAGAGAGACAAAATATCTCGAATCCAAAGCCACTTGAGTCCCACAAATCATCCAAATTTTTTCTTTATGCATTCCTGCAATATATAACAGCTCTGTAAAGACTTTGATTTCAATTGTATAAGTTGTCATTGCATCCTTTTCCCGTGAAAAATTTCCATGTACACCGTTAATCCTCCAGTTTTGGTACAAAAAGCAACATTGGTCGTCCCACTATTGGATTTTAAGACTCCAAGAGCCAGGAGAATATGTGGAGTGAGGATCCTTTTCTCTCAAGCGATATAAAAATATATCACATAGATCACTCGGTGGATCTCTCAGATCCGTTGCGATCTTCGGAGTGTTAAAGAAAAACAAGGTTAGAAGAAAGGCATTTAATTCTTAGTGTTTGGGTATTGGCCTCTATTATTAATACGTCGATCATAGGTTAAGAAATTAGAGTCGTTAGAGATTACTATGATGCTTCTCAGAGCTCATTGTGAAGCAAAGCAAGCAAGGCATGTTCACGAAACTATTGAAACTAGGTAAAACTATATGTTTACGTTTGTTTATATTATGATTGTAAGCAGTTTTATTTTTAATTTTTAAGCACTTTTTTGGAAGATCTTTGCATGTTTCCTGAGAGCATCTAATAACTCTTTCCCTCTTTTTGATTTTTTGGTTTCATAAATTTTATGTAACTAATAATATTAATTCTTCCTTATTTATATTGTTTTCCCAATTTCAGGGTGTCAGGCATACATCACATTTAGCATTCATTGCCAAAGAACCTTCATCCGACAGCAACCCAAATTATGTGGGTTATGTTTTTAAATGTCAATCCCCAGCTGTTGCTGAAGATATTGTTGCAGGTATTTTATCGATTATTATGTATTTTTTTTACTTAATATTTTACATTGTTGAATTATCGAATTATTATTCTATTTTAACATTAAAAGTCAATAACTTCTATAAACCTTAAATCTTATGAATGTTATTGTCATTTATTTTTTGTAAAAAATATAATAAATAGAAAACTAAATATTAAAAAAAAAAAATTGTTTAAAAGTTATTTCAATAAAAAGAATTTTGGTGAATAATAGTTTTCGAAATATTTGCATATAAGGAATCAGTTTTCATTGATGAAAATGAAATTTGTAACTTCATTATATGTTTGTACAGCGATTAGCCAAGCCTCAGTAAGTGAAAGGAAGACAAGCGTCATCTCTTGTGAAACATGCCCCATGGTTTGGTACCACAGGCTCTGTACTGAAATAGAACAAGCCGGGCCTAACAGTGGAAGAGAAGTAATTATGAAGAGGCTCGAGTCCTTGCCACAAGATGAGGCCGCTGTCGTCAGGACAAAACTGGAAGGAGGGGGTGTCGGTTCAGCCGAGTCGTTAGAGATTACTATGATGCTTCTCAGAGCTCATTGTGAAGCAAAGCAAGCAAGGCATGTTCACGACACTATTGAAACTAGGTAAAACTATATGTTTACGTTTCTTTATATTACGATTTTAAGCAGTTTTATTTTTAATTTTTCTAAATTAATACTCTCAAAACTATTTCTTATATTTCTAATTTTTGTGTTAAAAAAAATTCTAATTAAGTATATGATATAATATTAGAATCATTATACAATCTTTTTTAATCTCTGTTTTTTTTTTCTTCTATTGGTTTCATGTCTTTCATGACTTTTGTCCTAGCGTCCATCTTGACCTGCATTTTTTTTTTCTATATGAAACTCCATTTACGCTCCCTGATCATCTGATATTGGATGTCTCTCTCTAATGGGTGGTCTTTTGCTAACTAGTGCTGTAGGAATTGAGACACCCGATTTTAAGTCGAGTATCCTGTTCAATATTTACTCCTTACCATCCCATCATGAGGTAGCTTTTGGACTGATAGGTTTCTAAGTTGATAATTGCTCACCTGTTTTCCCAATGATAGCTTGCTTACGATATTATTTGAAACAGAGTGGCCAGCACCACACATTGCCTGGCAACCTGATAACTGAAGTTAGAGAATGGAAAAATAATTACGAGTTCAGATCCCGGTGTTCGGTGCGGCTTTTGACTCGGCATAATTCCTCCGGCCTGGGGAAAACCCCATGTAATCTAGGAAGGGGAGAAAAAAAAAAACTCCTAGCTTGTATGGTGTGGCAATGTTGAAAAGCAGCAAACTTAGAGTGAAATTAAAATTTTAGATTCATATGAATTTGTATAAACCTATGAAATTAAAATTTTAGATTCAAATGAATTGTAAGTATAAGAGAACAGCTCAATTAATAAACATTAAAAGAACCAAACTAATAAAAAATTATGTAAAAGCAATGTTCGTTAGCTTCCTTACATAGGCTGAAGGAGATGGGCTATCACTGTACTTATTATCTACCATGCCTGTAGATGGTAGTGGAACAACTCGGCTCCCAGTCACAATCAAATAAATGAACAGATTTGATTTTATCCCTTTAAATGAAAATTTTTACTTTTTCTGGAAGTTCAAAATTTGTAAGAAATGATGACTCTTGACATTTTTTTTTTTGACATCACAATTCTCGATTCTTAAAAATTTTATTTTATTGTGCATTTATTACAAAGCAAACAAATTAACATAACTTGTTACTTGCTGCTATATATATATATATAACTTACGATCGTCTGAACAAGAAAGATTAAAAAAAAGAAAGAAAGGATAGCAAATAACACACTCGGTTGCTCGGTAAAGACTGACTTTATTCTCTCCGTAATGCTATATATATAGCATTACGGTTTGTTTATACTTTACAGATAGGATTAAATATTATATTATCTTACATCCAACCATAACTCCCCCCCGCCAGTTTATGAACATACCTCATAAACTAATGCAGGGCTACCGACATAATACATACAAAACAAAAAAAAATAATGTCCACTAAAGTTCATACAATAGTAATAGTAATATAACAAAGTAAAATTAAAACCTGTCATCTGACAACATCCTTGAACAAAACAAAAAGAAAATGACACAAAATCAAATAACCGTTTAACGTCTGTCCCTAGCTTGTAGGAGGCAGAAAAGAGGATATACCATCTAATTATTTTAATGACTCTGTCTCTATCGGGAGCTTTAATTGTTCTATGTGCACGGTCCTCCTTTTTCTGGGATCCCTCAGACTTTGGATTGTGCAAATATTATGCTCGTGAAGCACGATTACCTTGAATGGCCCTTCGTAGCGTACCAATTCCTTCCCCCTATTGGATCCGACCCTCCGATAGACTATCGTCCCTATTTTCAATGTACCCATTCGATCTTTGAGGTTCAAATTAACCTTTTCCACCCTCTTTCGCTTCTCTCTCTCTATTCTCCCTTTCGTTTTCTCCCATACTTTCCTTATTTCTGCTCTGTTACACGTTATCTGTTGAGCGTGGTCCTCACTCGTGACTGTTTCCCTCCAATCTCAACGCCGTATATTTATCCCGAACAGTACCTCGACTGGGGAAAACCCAGTAACGGAGTGGATTGAATGGTTGTAGGCCGCTACCGCCCTCTGCATAGCTACGTCCGCTTCTAAACCCTGCTCTCCCTGGTATATACGTAAGTGATCGCTTAGGGTGCTATGCAACCTCTCAATACCTCCCCTGCCCTTTGGATGTCCCGGCGTATTGAAGTGCCAAACTATATCCAAACGCCTCGCTTCTTCTCGGATGACACTGCTGTCGAACTCCCTGCCTCCGTCGGATGTTATGCGATCTGGCACTCCGTAGAACTGAGCCCACGTTTGGAGAGCTCCCACGACAGCCTCCGACGACCTATCCTGTACCCGATGTACCATCGCCATTTTACTAAAGAGGTCTATCATTGTGATCCATTTAAAGCCCCTCCATGTAAATGTGTCAATTTGCACCTCTTTCAACGGCATATCTCCTGTAGGGGTTTCTTCTTGTAATCCTTGAGGCGGTCGTCTATCATACTTAGTGCGCGCGCAAACCTCGCACATCCCTATGACTTCCGAGATCGTTTTCCGCATGTCATCCCAGAAATATCTCCTGCGCAGTGCCTGGAATGTTTCCTGGATCCCCCGGTGATTCGTCTTGCCTTGATGATGTGCCAGTGTTACCTCCTTCTGTTGCTCTCTATCCGTTAATGTTTCGACTAAATATCTACAACGAATAAAAGACCTGTCCAAGCCCAGTTTTTCTGTTCTCCAGATCTTCTTGATTTTCTCCCATATTGTCGCATTCCCCACGTACAAATAGTGAACCTTTCCCGGCTCCGAAGCGTCATGCAAGGCCCTGCAAATCTGTTCTTCCTTCGCCCCTGGTTGGGACCAAATGGTGGTAACCTTCCTCTTCCCATATTTACTAAAATCCATCTTCATAAGCCCCGCTGTTCTGGTCTTCCATATCACCTGTCGGCGCTTATCATTGATCATCTCGTCACACTCTTCCATGTCTGTGGGCCTCTCGTCCACTGAGCTTTCTTCTCCTCTTGATTCCCCTGTTCCCGCGTTCTCGGGTTCCCCTTCGCCTTCCGGCGTCCACGCTCTCAGAAACTGCCGGACCTCCCGCGATGACTCCTTCTTCCTCCTCAATGGCATTTATCATTATTGCTCTGGACAGCCAGTCTGCTACCACATTCTCCTTGCCTGGTTTATACCTGACTTCCATATTGTATTGGCTTATTCGTTTGGTGAGGCTGTTTCTTTTCTCGAAACATCTGCAGGATGTCTTCCTCGGGAGCCCACCGACCTCCTCCGAACGCCTTCTTCAGCCTGTCCTTCACCGTGTTCCATGGGGTGTCCTCATCCGCCTGGATCATGTTTAACACACTTCTCTTGACTCGGCACACCAAAGCCGCCCTCAGCGCGTTCGCATCCATCGAATCTATCAAATTCTCCCCTTCTTTGGCCAGAATTCGCGATATCACTCGATCACCTCCCTTTAGAAAATGGTTTAACTCACCTACTCCTCCGTCAAACCTTTCCAAATCGGATATCGCCCTCCTGAGATCCTGAGACGTCGCCGTTCTCACCTTCAGCCATTCTAAGGTCGTCGCATGTGCTGACGCTAACGTTTCAGTGGGTAGCGGAGGAAAATCTCTTGCCAACGCTTCTGCTAGTGAAGGAAACGCCGGCGGTGGCGCCAATGGTGCTGGCGGTGGCGGTGGCGCGATCGCCTGTGACACCTGTGGTGTAGTCGGTACTGGCGGTTGTCCTGTTCCGTTCGGCATCCTTTCTTCTGATTACTCCTCGTGAACAAAAATAAAAAAGAAAAAGAAAATTTTACTGAATCTAAAGGTCCCGGGTTTCGGCACCACTTACGATCGTCTGAACAAGAAAGATTAAAAAAAAGAAAGAAAGGATAGCAAATAACACACTCGGTTGCTCGGTAAAGACTGACTTTATTCTCTCCGTAATGCTATATATATAGCATTACGGTTTGTTTATACTTTACAGATAGGATTAAATATTATATTATCTTACATCCAACCATAACTTATATATATATATATATATATATATATATATATATATATATATATATATATATATATATATATCAGTAAATTTATTTTTATTCTTATTTATGATATACCTACAAATAAACATACAAATTCAAAATGGTTGTTAAATTTTTAAATTATTGAAATTTATTTTCTTTGTTCTAGGCATGAATTCCTAAGTCACTATTTGGGTGGAAATGCTATATTTATGAAAGCAAAGAGATCATTGACCAGTAGCTTTGATCAGCTGTTGAAGAGGAAAGGAAGCAGAGATGAATTCGGTCATTCTATATCTCTTCCTCACAATGCCACAATGAGGGTACAGTACATATTATTATTGAAGTTATTGTATTAAAATTGTAAAAAATATTAGTCGTAACAATAACATTTAAGATTACCAATGTTAAAAAACTTCGTAAACTGCTGTACTATGATTATTTTAATGGTTATATTTCGGTCATAGATGGATACTAAGATTGATATGTACTAGTATTTAGTATAGATTACTACAGTATTTTTAAGTTACTATTGAAAATCTACCAGCATCATAAATTTATTAAACTGTATAAATATTTTAATTTTTAAATTCCAGGACTTGGGAGTGGATTCTCCTATAAAATCAATCTCTGAAATGGATGGTCCTGAGGAACCTGGGACTCCAGGCTCTATGAAGAATATGTAAGTTTTTTTTTTTTTCATCATTTATTTTAGTTGTATCTGATTGTTATTTATTCTTCTAAAATGACTTTATACTCTAACAATGCCTATCATTTATAAGTTTCAAATTAATTTAATTGTTTATAGTTTTATGAAACTGGGAAAATCAACGCCAAAGACCCCTCATGATGATTTGAGGCCAAGATCTTGGCGACAAGCTATTTTTAATAATGTTGTAACACCCAATAAAGCTTTACAGAAAGGTACTTTTTTATTTAATAGTATTGTTTTAATATTTAGTGTCAAAATATAAGTTATGTGCTTGCTCTCATTTGCCACCACACTTTTTTTTTTTCATAAATAAATTTTTATTTAATAATATATATTTAATTTATCAATATAACTCAAGAATGTAGATTCAACACACAGGATGATGATTAAACACATGAGTTAAGAATCATTAATTAAATTAAGAAATTAATTTCGTAGTTTTAGTTAAATTGTATGTCGAGTGTTAAATTAAAAACCTCATATATCTGAAGGCTATAGATATATTAATGAATTAATTTATAATAAAATAATATAAAAATATCTCTATATTGTAGTGACAAAAAAAAAATAATAATAAAAAAAGTGGCTGCCAATGATTATTTGTTTATAAAGAGACTTTCAATAGGTTTAAGTCTAACTATCTACATAACAAAGGTAGACAAAACAACAGATATTACAGGCTAATTATGATTTTTTTTTTAAAGTCTATTTTTATAGATAATTTAATTATCTTACAAATCAATATTTGGATTCTTTTGGGAGATGCATAGATTTTGAGTTATATGAAATGTATAAAAAAAAGAAATTCTCTGAAACATCGGTTTTGAATGTTTTAATAATAATAAATAAAAAGATATCATAATGAAAATAATTTTTCACTTGATATATATAGATATCTGAGCATATTCAAATATACTTCGGAATAGTTGAAAATATACATATATATGAAAAAAATAATGTTTCCATGGTAACATTCATACAATAATTTAAAAACCTTGATACAAACTCGAATACTCCATATTTTTGCTAATAATGGTTTTATTTAAATAATTATTTTGTTTTGTAGAAAACTGAAAGACCTCAATTGATTATATAGAAGTTTCCATAGAACTTATACTTTTTAAATGTTGCACAAATGAAATGTCGAAACTTTTTTTCATGAATCTCAGAAAGTTACTGAATACCAAAAATTAAAGGAATTTACAGAGATGACTTTGGACTATTATCATCTAAATCATTTTTTTGGCTTTTTGGGACACGGTGCCTGATTTGGAACCTCCAGAAAAAAATAAATAATAAGGAAGCTTCAAAAGATAAATATCAGTTTAAAACCTGATAAAAAAAATTGACCTTATAACAATACCTATCTGTAACGATAAGCTACAATACATATAACAATATGCTGCCTCCCTTAAGGAAAATAAAAAGAGTTGTTAATTTTTCTTGAGGAAGAGTTGTTAAATTTGTTTAACATTGATATTTGATGATAATAATAATAATAATAATGTCCTTATATCTTTATAAAGTTTCTTAAGAATATCATTTATTTAATTTTCTCGTTATATTTAATCGGTTAAAATGTTTTTAAAGCTATGCATTTTTAATATGAACATTTAAATACTTAGTAGTTCTTAATATTATTATGTTTCTTTATTCATTACAGAGTCAGAAAATAAAAAGAGAAGAAGAGACCGACAATTTTATAGAGAATTATGGAAGAAAGCTATCAACCAGCAAGTCCTATTAATTAGGATGGAAAAAGAAAATGCCCAGCTTACAGGTTATTCCTTTTAATATTTAATGTTACAGTTGTTTGTTATAAAAAATTTGTTCTCTTCTATCATTACAAAGATTCATCGTTTGCATTTTAAGATATACATTAAAGAAACATATGGTGTTGCCATAAACTAATGGTTCATTTATTATTTGGTTATATCAGTAATAAATAACTGAAGCTTTGCTCTTATAGTCTAGACCTTGCTCTTATACAAATACGTAAAGTAGAAGTAAATAAATGGTGTTAATATCACATACAAGTTAATCTTTATTATTTTGTAGCAAATACATAGCATGAGAACTATGGACAATAGTCTCTTGTTTAACTAACATTCTTTCAGCTCATCTGATCGACGTAGTACTGCCCCTTATGCTTAACTAGCCAAAGTATAAATGAATTCTCATTCATTTATGTATTTTAATTACATCCAAAAAGGTGTAGGTTTGATGCAAGCTTTTCTTTTATTCATTATAACGAACCTATCTTTCAGCTATTGCGCTTTAAAGGAAGATTTTTAATAATATTATTTTCATTAATCATATTCAAGAAAACACGTTTTGCAAATATTTTTCCAATAAGAAAAAACATGGTCCATGAAATCATAATTTTAGGAGTAAGATCATTGTAGGTAGGTAGTATAGGGATTTAAGGGCAATAAATTGCGAGATTATTATGGCCGTTAAGATCATTGTATTTCCAAGCTTGAAAAAATTAAAAAAAGTAAAAACATTGCTTCCAATACAAATTTTTATGAATTATTTTAGCTCGCCAAGAAGAAGCAACGTTGAAAAGGATAAAATTGGAATATGATGAAATTGGTTCTACTAAGCCACTGGATGTTTGGGATAACATATTGGAAGATGATAGAGCATTAGAAGAGGCTGAAAAATGCAGTATCCTTAAAAGTGGTAATTATGTTTCAAACTCATTTTCTAATTATTAAATGTAGTATATTTTTCTGATTTATATTATTATCTTATACTTTTAATTACTTAGGTCATGCATTGAATAAATTTAGTTTAGTTTTTTAAAAGAAGTAATATTGTCAATCTAATTGCTTTTAGTTAAAATTTGTATGCGCGTATGCATCATTGCATAAGAGCTGTTTATTCAGTCTCTTATGTTCCCTAATAAAGGCTAAAAAAGTGTGGATTGTCTTGGAGATAATTTATTTTTACTACATTCTTCTCTCTCTGGTATCCATTAATGCAAGTAAACTTTCTCATATTTGGTTTACTGTTATACTCTGTGTCTTATTCTTCACACAAAGGAATCAAATCTGTAATAAAAACCTTTCGTACATAAGTATCCATAATCGTTTTAACTACATATGGTAGGCAATTCGATTCATTAATTTTTTTAATGACTGGAAAATTAGTGTGTGAAAACTTGGTATTTTTGTACAGAACTTGAAAGGCGAGACTTTTAAAAAGTGGAACTAATTTAAGAAAAACTTTATTCCTTTTTTAACAAAGTTATTGTCATTTTTGTACTGTTCCTTAAAAATGTCTTTCAGTAATGTGAGCTAACATTTTATAGGTTATTTTTTAAAGTTAATTTTGTATTCTAACAATGTTTTTTAATTACTATCTGTATCTTCAATGTGTTTAATTATTTGTTCGGCAGTGTGTTAAGGCATTGCCTGCTTCAACATTCTCGAGTCTAGTGGTGCCGGTTCGAATCTAGCCTGGGTGGGTTTCAATTTGTTTCGTGACGGTCCCACAGAATGAATCTCAACCTTCCCAGTCTGGTTAGAATAGAGTTGGTTTTACCTCTAGATCAACTCCCCTCCCTATATGCCAAAAATGGCAAGGTAGCATTAAAAAATTCAGTAAAAAACTCATGTTTTTTTGTTGAAAAACAAAGTCAAATAAATGTTTTACATTTTTTCCCTCGTGATTAAAACCTTTTAATCACCACTTCTTTATTTATAAGAATATAAATTCTTAATATATAAATATATATTAAAAATTGGTGTATTACAATTGATTTACATATATTTCCCATATATTAATTATTGTACATATATCATAAAGAATATGCGGAGCAGAGTGGCAAGGATCAAAAGGATCAGAAACATCATCAGAAAGGAATAAATTGGAAATAAAATAAATGTCCTAGAGGTGATGGCAGAAAGAAGACAGGAGAAAGAGAAAGAAGAGAATAAAATAAAGAATATATGTACTTGCATATTTTTTCCAAAGGTTTTTCAATTTGTGGCATTAATTAAGGACCTAAGATTAAAAATTAAAAAAAATGTATTTGTTATATGAAATAATTTATAGTTGATGATTTTTGATTTAGGCATCCCAAAATCACGTCGTGGTGAGGTATGGTTATACTTTGCTGAGAAATATTCTTTAGATTCTGATTATGCACCTGATAAAACACAATTTCCAAATTATGATGTGCCATATGAAGATCTTCTCAAGCAACTCACCTCTCACCAACATGCCATCCTCATAGATTTAGGTAAGATTTTATCAATTTACAGAAGATAATAAATAACCCAGCTTTGTTTTTATGTATCTAAATTAAAATCTATATTCATCGTAAAAGTTAAGATTTAATTTGTACTTACATAAAAAATTTCTTGACATAAAGGATTAGTTGATCATAATAAATATTTTATTTTTGCTTCACATTAACTTATATCCAATTTTTATCTCGGATACAAATGAGTTATATGAAGTGTAAAATTAATATCTTTGTTATAATCTACTTATCATCTAACCTCTACTTCATGACATTTTTTATCAACGGAAAAATAAAACATAAATTTTAATGATGAAAATGATTTTTAATATTTATATAATAATAACACCACATGCTTTTGAAATTAGGTGGCCAATCTGAAACGTTAAAGCAAATAAATAGTTAAGAAGTAATATGAATTTTTTAAGAAGAAAAAAAATTAAACTTAGATTGAAGTAATTACTTAGATTACACTCCTCTAACCAGAAGATTCAACTGTAATAACCAAGGACCAAATAAATATAATGATTTAGTTTATTCTGGTTAGATAATATTTTGATTCAATACTTTGAATTTTGCCTTCAATTATGCTTTTGCTTTAAAAAATTAATTTCGCCTGATGTTTTCGATTAGTGGTATTGTAAAAATTTAATTTACTTTATATTTTTTATTTTTAGGAAGGACGTTTCCTAACCACCCCTTTTATAGTTCACCCTTAGGCCCCGGCCAGCTGTCCCTTTTTAATATTCTCAAAGCCTATTCTCTGCTCGATCCAACTGTTGGCTACTGCCAAGGACTTAGTTTTACAGCTGGTGTTCTTCTTCTCCATGTAAGTAATTTCTGTTTATTATATTTAATTTACAAGATCTAGATAGATTTGACGAAATCCGTCTGAAGTGAAGTGATGGTGGAATTTCGAAAGTCAAAAGAAAAAAATTATCGCATTATATATTTACCAGGTTTATTGTTTTTTAATTTTTAAAGAGATGGCTCTGGAAACAAAGATTGGTTCACAGTCTAACCTTTTATATTATTTTGTTGCTATAATAGTACCTTTTAAAACGCCGATGATTTTAACAAATTTTAGGTTTTGCCTCATATATTTTTCATGTGATACACAAGTTAAGTTTCAAGTCAAATGAAGAGCATCTACGGTATGTACAGTTTTTCTTGTTGAAGCAAAAGAAAATTGCGAGTGAAAGCTGTTGTATACTTAAGGAAACTTACGATGTTTTAACTTGAGGAAATTTATTTAAGTCAACATTAGATGCTTTTATGCGTTGGTTTAGATGATTTAAAACTGATCATTTTGATTTCAAACACAAAGATCACCGAGTTCAAAGTCAACCGAAAAAAGTTCAAATGTTGAATGGCAAGTATTGTTCGAACGAAGAAGATACACGAACTTTACAATTGGCAGAGAGGTTAAATATTGGTCGCCAAATCGTTGATGATGATCTGCATGCCATGGGAAAGATTCAGAAAGGAGGAAAATAAGTATTACCTCAGTTGAACAACACAGATAGAAGAGCGAAAAACGGTGTGTGCAGTTTTGCTTTCTCAGCATAAAAGAAAGACTTTTTGCATTGTTTTGTGACTGATGATAAAAAAAAAAAATGTATATGTTTCAAGAATCCAAAACTCAGAAAATCTTGGTTTTACCCAGTACAATCATCAATATTGACCGCAAAGCCAAATCGCTTTGGAAAAAAGACAATGTGTACAGTTGGTGGGATCAGAATGGTGTCGTGTATGTTTAGAGCTTCTGAGGTCAGGTGAAACAGTTGATATTGTTGCTACTGTCAACAAATTGTTGATACAAATGCTAACTAACTAATCTGAACCACTCTTACATCATTATCAATTCAGCCCAAACAATGAGGAGGTTTAAATTTTCAAACTAATATCTGCTTTCATGAGTGTTTGAAGATTTTGTATTAGCTATTGAAAAATATTTAATTATAATTTACAATTGCTAGAATGTAAGTTTAAAAAGATTGGCAGTTTTTCATATTCAATAGTTAGCATTTGTATTGACAAAATGATCAATTTGAACCATGCATTGATCGAAAAGTGACCAGAATGGGCTATAAGATATAGACAAGTAACTTTGTAGCACGACATCACCCTATCACACACAGCGAAAGTGGTCAAAGATAACATTTTTACGCCTTACTGGGAACTCTTGTCCCACCTGCCATATTAACCAGACTTGGCCCCTTCTGACTATCATTTGTTTTAATCATTTCATCATTTTCTCATGTACTCTCTATGAAACATTTTTACATTTACAAAGATGTCGAAAAATCGCTTGATGAATCGACCACCTCTGATGAAGTATGATTTTTCTGGGAAGACATCCACAAATTTCCAGAGTTATGAGAAAAATGTGCAACTAGTGATGGCAGATACTTATTTAAATTTTGTTTAAAAGAAACAAATTAAGAATTATTAACCGCCATACCTGGTATATTGAATCTAATTGTAGTTATGATCAATTTAATTTTATGGGCTTTAATGCTTTATTTATTTTTTTAATTTCAGATGTCAGAGGCTGATGCATTTTATCTGTTACGGCACCTTATGTTTTGTAGGGGATTACGTGAACGTTATCTCCCTGATATGTCTGCTCTTCAGGTAAAATTATGTGATGAAAAATCACATTTTTTATTTATTTTAGGTTTGAATAGTATATTTTATTTATTCATTGTAACTTGCATTATTAAATTAAATATGTTGAGCATATTCTTTTAAATAATGTATTTACTCAATTTATCTTCTATTTTAACTTAATATTTTTTTTTCTATTTTCATTACTTTTATTTATGATATTACTAATTGTTATCATTATGACAGGTGTGTTTATACCAACTCTCCCGCCTACTTCATGATTTACACCCTGATTTGTACGCTCACTTCGATTCTTTGGACATTGCTCCATCATTGTACGCAGCTCCGTGGCTTTTAACAATTTTTTCATCTCAATTCAGCCTAGGCTTTGTTGCAAGAATATTTGGTAAGTTATTAAGATATTTAATATTAATTTGATTAAGTTATTCATAAAAAATTTACCCTATTTACTCTTATTGTCCAAAAACCCGAATAGAAAATTACAAGATTATACTTCTGTTCTTTATGGATTTGAAATGTAAAGGAACTGACATTATATATGTTCGAACTCTATAGGATTAATTGTTTTTATTTTGATTTCTATTAGTTCAAATTATGAAAAATAACTTAAATTAAAAATTATCTATATATCAAAAGGTTTTAGCGATAATTAATCATTTTTTTTAGTTTAGTTTCGTCGAACATTGAATTCCCTGATAATGCTTATAAATGTCAAAAATAAAACATCTCATGGAAATGAAACTGAGTCTCTATAGTATAGGCACTTATAACAATTGCTTTAAAAACTATTACTATTGGAAATTTTCCTTTTCCAATGAAAAATAAATTATAACATTATCATTTGTGAATAACATACATTAAAGTGGATGATGAAGAGAAGAATAGTTGGGCTGGTCAGTCAAAAAAAGAAGGCAAAAATAAATATTATCATTTATTTTTGCCTTCTTTTTTGACTGACCACCCCAACTATTCTTCTCTTCATTATCCCCGACAGTCAACCATTTACCAACTATTAAAGTGGATGTTTTCTTAACAGAACACCATTTGAGATAGAAATCTTGTAAACTCGTTTGAAATGTTATGAAGTGATCTGTTGTTAGAATTGTGAAGAATAAAGTGCACACAAATGAAAAAAGAAAATTATATATAAGCTTATAAAAAAAAAATTGTGAATAATGTACATAGTAAAATTACAAATATGTGCAATACCCTTGCCTCATTAACTTTAAAATAAATAAATAACTTTGAAATCATTATGCCCCGTACTTTACGAACCTTGTAAAGCCCTTTTTTCTTAATAATGTGCTAGACAAGTTGATTAAATAAATTGCAACAACGCAACACAGAGATCAGAAGATAAACAAGCGAATTGCTTCCTGCTGTTCCCAGAATCGATTAATGTTTTATGTATGCTGTCCTTTTTAGAGAGTCAAGTTATTAGAAGTTTCAAATATATTAAAATCAATAGAATCTCAATCCAGAAATTAAAATTATCCTTTTATGATAAGTGTATGTTTGTTAGAAATGTCTATTTGGAAGTATCGCTATAATTATATTTTTTTATGAATGTGAAATTTAACATTTTATTTTGTGTAAATTGAAACTTCTTAAAATTTCTTCTAATGTTATGCTTCTCATTTTCAGATTTGATGTTTTGTGATTCCCCTCTAGTCCTCTTCAAAGTCGCCATTGCACTTTTAGGGCTTCATAAGCAAGAACTTCTTGATTGTGAGACTTTTGAAGATGTTATGGATTATTTGAAAGTTAAACTGCCACATGTCACTAACGAGATAATGGATGTTATTTTACATGAGGCTAGTATTTTCTTATAATTTTAATAATAAAATATTGGATTAATTATTTGATCAAAATCCTTTTTCTCTTAGTGTAATTAGCAAAGTCTGTTTTCTTTATTGATATTAGATATATTGAGAATCTGTATATTACTTTTATATTATAAATCGAAAAATCCAAACTATAATGCCAAAGTCTCTAACAAACAGGTGAATAGTTAACATGCCTATAATAATAAATTTTTTGGCAGATTAACTGTTCACCTTTATGTTAGAGAGTCATGCAGCGTTGCCGTGCGCCGTATGGCCTATCCTTGTACGCTTGCTCATCAAAAATTTGTTCAATTGTTGACTCAATGATATTGTTTTTTCTTAGACAAATTAGATCAGAGCTTTGCTTATTTGTTCATCACCTATATTTTAAAACCTATTTACATTATTTTTTTGAAGTTGATGGATCAAGAAGTAAAATTAATTTAATTTAATGTACGAAATAAGTTTAATAAAGCATATATAATTGTGCTTGTATTTTTAGAAATTATTGGAAAACTTTCTGTAAAAATTAGAATAGCTAAATAAATCTTTTAAACAATTCAGTATTCCTATCGTCATTTAAAAAAAAGAAAATGGATTATTAATTAGGCTTAATTACTTTTACTTTACTCGACAAAAATCGAAAATATTTTTTAGAAATAACCCTAACAATTTTTTTTATATTATCTTTATCTAGGAAATAAAATTATAAAGGAATCATACTTTATATTTTTTCATAATTTATTTTATACTCAATAAAAATTTTAAAAAATTATGAAGGAAATAATAATCATACTCTAATCAAAGTAGGTATAATTGAAATTTGTTTGTCTATAAAACAAAAAAAGTTAAGTATTATATATCAATATAAATAATAACACAGAAAAAAGTTATTTTAAACTTTACTCATAAAAATATAACGTTGCAATCATTATGTACGAGGTGTGAGACTGTTTGATTCTCTTACCTTGTAAAAATATCAGGATCCACGTACGAAAGGCAACTATAGGCAACAATGGACTTATGGCTCTATATTTGGATTTTTCCATTCGTAACGTTATCACCTTATTTCTGTTTTCGAGCAATTTGCTTATTTTAATAATATTACTTTTATATATGTATTTTTTATATCTTACTATTAATTTATTTATATATAAAAAAATTAAACATTATTAAGTTGTATTAATTATTGAATTGTAATTTTTAATTCTTCATTTACAATATTTATGATTGCTTTACTGATTTGAGCAGTTAGGTTTATATATATTTATAACAAATACAATAAGTATATTAATTAAAATTTTAAATTATATTTTATCAGGTTTTAACAACAGATGTTACAAGAGAACTAAAAGACTATGGTGTTGAATACCATGTTCTTGAAGAGGAAATGTCTTCACCTCGACCAGAATCTCGTAGAATTAAAGAGCTAGAAACTATTAACCAAGGACTTTTGGAACAAATTAATGTTCTCAACAAGCAACTCCAGGTTATCATTATTCCACATTCTTTCTATTTATTATATTAATATTTAATGAAATTCTACAATTATTCAAGTTAAATTTAAAAAAAAAAAAAACGAAAATTAAGTCAGAGGGAAGAAATTTTGACACTGCAGCAGCAAAAATATGATTTGTTTATGTGAATGTCGATCTTTTATTTGTTTAATTTTTGGCATTTTATAAATGAAAATAACATTTAAACAAATATTTATGGATTGTTGATAAATTAATGTAAAATTCACCATAAATTTAAAATATGAAACAGCGTGGGTTGGTTAACTCATTAGTTTTTATCAACATATAAAAAAAAGGATCAAAATTTGATCATATCATTTCCAAGTACATTTTTGATAGAACTAAATTTTCAAGTTTGGAATTTGTGAATATTCATTGATGTGAAAACTGATTAAGCTCATCAAAATAATACCAACTTTTTTTTCTTTAAATAGTTACCATAATGTTCTGATTTCATGAAGTTGAAAATTCATAAAATTAATTAGTGATTTAATTTTATAAAATTTTACTCAGGTAATTACTTTTCATAATAAACCGACGATATTACTTCTGAATGTAAAGGAGCATATAGTTGTACAAAATTCAAATTGTATGAAGAATTTTCAGACATTCTGTTTCAAAAAAAAAAAAGAAAACAGTGTTTTTAACATGGTGGCATTTTATATGAAAAATTACATTAATAGCTCAAGTAGAAGAGGAAAAAAATAAGAGGTTGATGAAGTATAAACTCCATATAATGAAATTCTAGCTGTTGTTCTGAACCCTCTTGTATGTATGTTGAGTTCTCTAGATAATGAGGGGTAATTATCATAATTTTTTTATTTTTATTATTCATTGATATTTACAACTGTGTTATAAAAAAAAAAAAAAAAATACAACTAGTAAATGTGCACTCAGGAATATATTAACATGAAATCTCTTGTTGAGAAACTACCCACTGATAGCACTCAAATCCAATTTTTATTCTGAAATTTAACCCTTACATTTAATTATTTGTATCTGATTCAATTTTATATTTATAGATGTCTGCAAGTGATATTAAACGTCTAGAACATACGAGGACAGATCACATATCACAGTTGCATAGGCTGGACGAGGAAAACAAAGAACTGAAGGATGATATTTTGGTCCTTTCTACGTTTATTGTGGACGAAATGGATTCAAACGAACTCCCTCCAAATTTGTTTAGGGTACTGAAAAGGCACAATGTGAAGCTGATGTCTAAAAACAAGGTTATTTTTTTATCCTAGTGAAGTTAGAGGTGGTGGTTATTTCAGGGTAAATTAAAAAAGTTGGAATAGTGTTTTGTATTAAAAAAAAAAATCTTATAATTCATAAAAATGCTATCATATAAATTGTTATTATAACATAATTAAATAATTTAAAAAATAAGTATTTTATTTGAATTGTTTTAAATAAAAAGTTGACATAATTAAATTTTTAGTTGAGAAAAATATTTAACTGACTCAAGAATGCTCTGATGATTCATACAACTCATTAAGAATAGTTTAATGTAAAAAAGAATAATTGAAAAAAATAAGATAAATAACTAAACAATACTGCTGACTTTAGAACCATTTGGTTTAGTGAGCGTTGATGAAAAATATGAAACAGCTTTTATAAGTTTTGGAGAATACACTGACTTTAAGATATTTTAAGGAACATCTGTGATAAACAGCAAAAAAAAAAAAAATTAATAAAATTTATATGTATCGAACAAAAAATCTCGTTAAAAAAAAAAAAAAAATATATATATACATATATATATAAAATGTTATTGTCATCAAAAAAATCCTTTAGCTTTACATTCATTAGAGTGGATAATAATTAAGAGAGAAATACTTTATTTAATGCAACAACAAAAAAAAACATGTCTTAACGGCTTTAAAAAACATGAGAAATTCAGGACAGACTTTCTGGCTGCACACTGTAGTGGGTTCTTAAAATTCCTTTCTTAACATAGAGTGAAAATTATATTTTATTTAACTTTATCTTCTTTGTTGTGAAAATAGCTTCTAAATAAAAATCATTAAGTGTGAAAAAATGTACAACATAACAAAAGAAGTAAAAAGTTGAGCAAAACACTTGGGTTCATTTAGCCTTTTATTATTATATGTATTTTAATTTCTTGCCCCATTTTTTTGACTATTTCGTCTTAATAATTTTATATTCTAATAATTAAAAGTTAAAATTACATTTGTTAAGAATTATGTCTTGATTAAATTATATCCTGAGTCAATCAGTCAATAATTAATAAATAAATCATTGTTTTTTTTATAACTTCTAATAGTCAAAAAATTAACTTTGTATCAAGTACGTAAGTTAAGGCAGTTTAATATGCCTTGTAATACTGTATAGTACAATCCAATACAAAACACTATTCTGTTGAAACTTAATTTTACTGATTTTTCCATTGTAGCAAATATGACAAAATCAATCAAATAATTCCTTTGACAAATGCAAATTATAAAAACAAAATTTATTAAATTGTTACCATTTATTACATATATATCATATTTAAATTTTTTTGTAAATTTATCAGATTGTAAAATTTATTTATTTATATAGATTTTATTTAATGCTTATCAATTATAAATGTGAAAAAATGTTATTGTTCAGTTTTTTAAAATTTAATATTTAAGATTTGGTACATGTTTTGTATTTTTCTCTTAATTCAAGGGCTTTAACATTTAGCGATATTAATAATGAAGGTGTAATTATTCTTTATTTATTTTCTATGAAAAATTTGTATTATTTTTATTGCCGTTAGCTTCTAATTATGAATTTTATACAGTGGCCTTATTGTTATGAAATTAAATTATTATTTTTATCTAAGTATAACATGTGTACATATATTATTTTATTCTGTTTTACTCCCTAAAAATTTTCTACTTTTTTTTTAATAGAAGTAATAAATTGATCAATGTTCAATAAAAAATTATTTTTATACAAACAATTTTTCATTTGAATGATATTGATTATTTTTTAATTAAATTTACTTAATCCTTCTGTCTGTAAGAAAGTTTGTACTAAAATTGATTTGGGATTTCTGCCTTTAAAGGAGTACTAAATGATTGAGATTTATTATAGACGGTTCAAAACAAAAATTAATTAGAAATAATTTCAAGATGGTGTGTACATTTTTGGTTTCTGTGGAAATACTGCGCGTTTAAGTGTTTAGGCTTACTATTGCAATTTAGATAATATTCCTTGTGAAACTGTATTATTGATGAAATAAGTCACTACAGACCTGATAGTTATAATGATTGATTTACAATTATAAAGAACATGAACGATTAGTTAAAATTAAAATTTATTTTTAAATTTGGGATTTTTGGTGATAAATCAATATTACTGAAACCATTTGTTTGTGGTGATGGAAGAATTTTTTTGAGAATAATCAGATGGAAAGGTGCCCTATTATCCACAGGTGGAGTTTAAAACACGATCCAGCTGCCCTGAGATAAAAGTGGCGCCCGAAAAACCCGCTAGCACACGAGGAGGGCGAATATTGACAGAATCAGAAAGGAAAGCTCTCGTTGAATCCAGACTTAATGCGCTTGAGAGGACAAAGGTACCAGCCACTTCCTATCATAAATAAATTTATATTCAACACCAATTATATTCATTTTATTTGTGCCAACAATTTTATTTTATTTTTTCTTATTCCCAAAGATCAGTGGTTGGGATTTTCACATTTTCTTTATGGGATTGAGTCCCTTGTACTGCATAGGTCGTATGTATTTTAAGGAATTTATGAGGAATTTAAGGGTTTTAAAAATTGTTACATGCTGAGTCGTCGTGTTGAATATAAATATAGTCTAGTGATGGAGCTCGCTAGTTGTCTTGTGTCAGTCTAGTTAGTAGTCTTCAGTTTAGTCAAGCATGAGGCTTTTGCCACTTCTGTAGCCGTCCCGTCAGAGTTAGTGTCTTAAGAAGTGGGTTAGTTGCATATTGCAGACTATCAAAAAATTTGATGTGCCTGCAATGTTATAAAGTCTGTTAAAGTCAATAGTTCAAAAGTCTTGTGGAGTTGGTCTGTTTTTGCCCTCTGTAATGATTTATGTCCCACAATACGTTTCAGCACTCCACATCACACCAGATTTTTAATGATGATATCATTTCTCCCTTTTTTAAAGTCTGAACTGGACTTATTTATTACCGGTTCAACACCATTTCCAAAGAACTGCAATCCCAAGTTTGCTTTGTATTAAAAGTTAGGTAACCTTGCTGACAAAAATTATATACGCACATGTGTGTTGAACCATTATCATTCACTGGTTGTTGTTGATAAAAAACAACAACAAAGAAATTGGGTTTTTGTGGGTTGGATCTTCATTCCATGATTATCAATAATGTAAATAACTATTTGAAGAAATTTTAATTTGTTATTTTAGAATTAACATTACTATTCTTTATATATAAGTCCTAAATTACCTTTAATTTATTTGTTGTTAACAGAAGGGGACTCAAAGTGCTTACGATATGAGAAGTGGAAGCCATCCTCTTGATAATGATTCAGTTCCAACAAGCTTCGAAGGTACCGTCTGCCTCAAGAGTATACCTCCCCCATTGCGTAGGTGTGAAACCATAAATCCACCCGCTGTTGATCGTCCAAATAATTTTAGACGGGCTGAAACTGCAGAACTTAGGATAGTTGAACCAAATGATATTGTATCCGCGAAGATTCAATCAACAAAGGAGAAAATAAGTCGATTGTTTGAATTTGAGAAACCTTTTGGAAAAGAAACAGAGATGTTGATAAAATCGCAGGCCATGCACAAATCAAGTGGTCTTCTCACATAGCTTTAATAATACTATCTGCATCAAGGATAGAGTTCATACTTTCTTTAGGCTTTAAGAATGTTTCCAATTATTTACGAGATTGATTTTGATGATTTTAATTTTTAAAAAAAGAGTTATCTATGCATTTGTTAATTACTACAACCATAAACTTTTGTATCTTTATGCTTTAGAAATTTGTTTTGTTTTGTATTTTAAAATGTTGCTTTTAGATATTTGTATTGTTTTGTTTATTTATTGAATTTGTTATATATACATTAAAAAAAAAAGAAATTGGCATGTTTAAGAATATAATATTTTTATATTTGTAAGTTATTAGTTAGATCTTAGAATAGTAACCGAAGTTCAGATGCTTATTTCAGAGAGAATTTTCTATTTTTTTCTGATCATTAAAAGGATTGAGTGACTTGATTATATTTTTATCGTATCAAACTTGTTTACTACCAATTTCGGCATAAAATATTATATTATCATGAATTACAAATAATAAAATAAAGTGGAACTGTTTTTCAAACTATCGGTCTATGCAGATATATGCTTCTGATAGTTATACATAATTAATAATTCATTTTCAAATAGTTATTTTATATTTATCATATGCATTTGTGCAACTGATTAAAAGTTATACGGTTACCGAACTTGACAGATTTGGCATATTATAAGATAATAATAAAAATATAAATAATAATGCAGAACATTTGGTATGAGTTAAGTATAAGTTTCATCAGACAAATGAACAAACAAATAAAAACAAGTCCAATTCTCAAGAACCATTCTACTGCAATTACTTTCACCGATGGGTTAAAAAATTTATTTGGGGGGAGAGGCAGGTAGGAGAATAAAATTAACAATCAATGATAGTCAGTATATAAGAATAAAAACCCTCTGCGTCTGGATATTTGGTGCCAAAATAGTCAGAATTTAAATGTAGTTATTTTTAACGGGACCAATTCAATTGTCCTAATGAGTGCTTTCGTTAGTAGTTTAATGTCTTCTGTTACTAAAGCAGTTGTAGCTAGAAACTTATTTACTGTATTTATGTAAGGTCGTATTATTGATATGAGGGTATAAGTAATCATTGAATAAATAATTTTTGATAAAATTTTAGAAGCATTATTTTTTTTCCTTATTGGAAGCGTATAATTTATGCTTCACAATAAATATTGCTCAATGTATACAATATATTTATTTTGTTAAAATAAATTTTACATGACAAATGAACTTATACTCTTTATTATTTCTAATGTTGTATTATATCGGAAAAACATTATTGTTATGTATATAAAGACAATTCTAATGTATTGTTGATTCTTATAAAATTTTGTTTCATCCTTTAGATTTATCCTAATTAAAAAATGTTTAGTATTGAAGATGCTTTTTTTTTGTCTTTCCATTATCATTATTGTCTTCTCGTCAATCTTTCTTACTTAATAAATATGTTAATTAAATACAAATTAAAATCTTTAGCAACACATTATATTAAAAGCATTTTAAGAAAGAACTGAGGCAAGTTAATACGTTTATTAGTTTTATTTACTTTTTATATAGAAGTTTAAAAATATTTTAAAAACTTTATTTCCCCCTTGAATTGGATTATTGTTATTTTTATTTAGGTTCAACATTCCGATGTTAAGTGTATTCCAACTAGTACAGGTTATTCTCTACAAGTAACCAACCTATTCTAGCCGTTAGATGATTCTAGATTTATTTCTTTAGTCCGTCACAAAATACATTGTAACATGCCCAGTTGGAATTCAAAACTCGAGAGTGCTAAATCAGGTATTGCTTAAAATGCTGTGCCACAACAGTTTCGCCAGATCTTTTAAATCTCAATTAAAAATTTTGTGGAACCAGTACCATCAGAACTGAATGAGATACTTTAATTATAGCCCATGAGCCAAATTTTGCCTTCACTGAGTAATAATTTATTTAATGTGGATCACTTACTCTGAAAAAAATCTGTAATCTCCCGATGGTTAGAAATAGGTAATGAAGGTAAACATGATTTTCAAATATTTCAACAATATAGATGTCTATTCTATTGAGTTATTTTTGTTTAGAGTCTGTTTCATGCAGTGTAAGCCCTTTACTATTTCTCAGCAGCGAAGGATTTTGATAAACGATGTGTCAAAAGATACCGAATTTCATAAAAGAATAACGAATCTCGATTAGAGATATATAATTAGACCACGATAAAAATGTCAGTACTCAATGGAGGCTAAGTTTGGTAAATTTGCTCTACAACTTTGATTCTATGGGGTTTTCCTCTTAGGGAACTCATTTCCAAGTTACAGGGCCATTTATAGTAATATGTCTCAGTTTTTGATAAATTTGGTAAAAATCAGCGTTGGTTGACCATGGTTTTATCCCTTACTAAGTAACCAAATTATAAAGTTTATGTACTTGTTTGACACACAATCTAACATTCTTTAATTTATTTAAGAGCACATTTTTCACTATGATGCATCATTAAGCAGTTATAGGTGAAAAAACAAATAAATATCGAAAAAATCTTACTTTTTTGGCAGTAAAAAGTTTTCTCTTGGTGGCTCGCGTTAGCAATCTTGTTTTTTACTTGTCTAAACCCACATATGCATGTTAAAAAATAAAAGCTTTTTTCACATTGGATTTCCCGTTTTGATCCTCAAATTACAGGCCTAATAATCTTTAAATCAGCCACTATTTATGAAAGCAGTGGCTCTTGAACCGCAGACAAGATTCTTTTTACTCAGAATAACAATCACTTTCATAATTTACAATCAAACCTTCGCCTGCGATCAGGTCAATTTTTGGACTCTGGCTCCAGAGCTAAGTTTTAATCACGTAATATGTAGGACAAATATGGGAAGAACTTACTCATATCTCCATCACAACACAATAAATTTTTATTATTCTCAAACCAATTACAATTTTTTTTTATCCTTTACAAAAATACAGAAATGTATGTAATTGACTCTCACTGAGGCAAGTTGGTTACGAAATATTTTTTAATACTCAAATAATTGTTCTCTCCATCGGCTCAAATGCTATTCTCTAATACCTTCACAACTTTGTGCCTATCCTCCCACTAGTTCAGTTATAACCATCTCCCAAATCAGGATTAGTGAGGACTGGGGTGATAGGGCACAGATATGGAAGTGATTTAAGATTTTTATGAAACAAAGAAAATTTTAATAATAAATTTATTTTATGTGGTTATAATAAACTTCACATCAAAATGTTTGTCTAAAGTTGTTAGTTTTGTTATCATCATCAATCCTTACCACAATTTAAAGCTATCTCGCCGATTGAATTAGGTATTCTAAAATCAATACATAGTTAAAATAATTATATAATGTTGTATGTATTACAATTTATAAAATATTAATTTCCACTACTTTCATCTATTTGATACATTATTGTGTTTAAAAAATTATGTACATGTATTTATAAATACATAACTAATAACTTGTTTTATTGAGGTCTAAGGATTAATTTTTGACATATGTATTTGGCTGTCCAAGTATGAGAGTGCAGTATTACGTTTTCTGGGTTTATTTCAATGCCCATTGTGCTTAGTTCCTCCTTAAGGATATAAATATTTTTCAGCAGGTTGAAAAACAAACCTTAGTAAAGTGTTATCCTCTCATGCAGTTCCTATTCTTGATAAAAGTAAGTGGTTGCTCGTCCTTACCACATGTCTAATTTATATTTAAGACCGCTCCTGTTTGATCTGCCTTAGCATGCAGAATAATTAATATATATTCTCCAAGATCGTCAATTATATTTTACTTACCGAACTTCGGAATGATATACCTTACTGATTGCTATCAATACAACTTGAATAAACAAGTACTTTTATGTGATAAAATTGAGGATAATAACACAATTATAACCAATTAAAATAACTCTGAGACTTAAAATATGTCAATAACATACACCATAAAAAATTTACCAAATTTTCTATATTCTATAAACAAACCTCTGGTACTCTATTGTTTCCAACTGAACATCCTTTATAACCTAAATATTGTATATAATGTCAGGATGAAAAAAAATTAATATACATAAGCATTTATTAAACATTTATTTCAAATTTATTTGTGCAAATATAAATTAACATATAAACAACCATAAGCCCAAATTTACAAATTTAAACATACCATTATAAACATATTGTTCAAGATCAAATAACAAACTGTAATATTTTTTCTGTTACTATTACATAAAATATATACACATATGTCCTTTGATTTTAATTAAAAATGAAAGTCACATAAAATGACTAGCTTTTTGCCTTAATTATATCTTCTATAATCTAGTTGGCATATTTTTGTTCTTTTTTTTCTCTCTTGGCGCAGAGTACAACAGTCATGATTGTTAATTATGTACAAATTTAAAACTATACAGAAAATAGAAGGGGTCTCCATCAGGGCAATTTAGTCTTCCAAGTTATCACAGTATTCACGTCAGGTAACATTGATACATAACAAATATATTTTTCTTCAAAATAATTAGGAGTTAACAGTTTTATATTAAATCAACATTTAGTACGTAAGTACTCATAAGAAATTATGGGTATGAAACCGAAATTTGCATTATCATAAGAAAATATGATGTTCAAATAGTTTAAAAAAAAAAAATCTAGATACATGTAAATCATTTAATATTGTATGTGAGGTCAACTATATGATATAGATGAATACATTTGGAGTGAAAAATCTGAATGGGTTCTAAACTTTTAAGCAAAATTACAATTCATTAATAAAAATTTGACATTTTGTGCTCGACTCATAGATTTAATAAGCAATGAAATAGGATAAAAAAAAAAAAAAATTAAGAAAGATAAGCCATGTGCCCAAGGTAGTCGCAAGATTGACATAAGTTATTAACTAAAATTTTTTTTTTTTTGTTAGATATTAACTTGGATACTGTTTAGTTATATGGGTTTTATTTTACAGCTGATAACAAAATAACATTTTAATTCATTCTTAAACATATTATCTGGAAAGCAGCCAGTGTACCTAAGGAGACATTTGCAATACTCAACATCAGAATTCGTTATTTTAAGCAATTAATTTTAAAATACATAAAAATGAAATAATTTATTGTTTTTTGTTATATTTCCATCAGTCTTTTCTTGTCAGTGGGGTATAACTTCCATCACATCATGTTGTAATTCAAATTATTTACATTACTTTATATAATCTGTGAATTGAAGTGATAATATATAATTTAAAACTGGATTACGCATACTATAACTTTGTCTCTATTTGTACAAAACTTAATATACTTAAATATTTTAAACGATTTGTTTCTTCTCATCTGAGGCAATAACAAATATGAAATAAAAGGATAACAATTATTTCCAATGTCATTCAACTAATGTTGGCAATATTCCAATGAACATATTGTAAGATCATGGTAAAAACTTATGTATTTATTAAGCAGCTAAGAATGATAAATAAATTTCAAATGTGTCATTTCTGTTTTGAATTACAATATAACTGGACCCCAAAAGTATATTTATATCAGTTTTATTTCGAACAAATGTAATAACAAAACATTATGTTGGAATGGCATGAGATTGAAAAATAATTTAAGAGAAAGGAGAATAAGAAGAAACAGTTTAACTTGGCCATTGCCAAGTAAAATTATTGCTCTTTAAAGGCAAAGTTTACATGTTAAACTTACTATATTTATAATCTAGACTACACAAATAAAAATGTTAAGCAAAATGAAATGAAAAATTGGACAAGTTATTCCACCTCCTACCTGGGCTTTTATAATCTATACTTTAAGTTTTCCAAGCAATTGGTAGACACCGTCTAAAACACATGTTTTATAGTTTACGATAAATGTTAAGTAAGTAATAACATGTAAGCTTGCCTTAAAAAAACATTAAGAAAACAGGAAATCTGAAACTTTTCAAACATGAATAAGATTTTAATAAATTACAATCAGAATTTGATGTCATCTAAATTATTATGCTTAAAGAATATAATTTGACTCAATGGAAGAAGATATTTGAAAATAATTACTATCGCTCATTTTTTATAACCTATTTTTTCAATACAACAATACCATCATTTATTTCTCTTCAATACTAAATTGAACCACAAACATTTTTTTAACAAGTATAAAAATAAAATATGTCAGATATGAGATTAATTTAAAATGAACATAGGCATAATTGAAAGAATTGGTTACAAGTATCAAGGAACTTAAAACTTCCTCCCAAAAATGAAGAAACCCTCTATCAATAAAATTCAGCGTACTCAGTAAACTTCAGCACATGCTGTGGACCACTTAGTAACAGGTACTAACAGCTGATTATTAAGTAATCAATAATGATATGTATAAATTAAATTTCCTCAAGCTATAATGAAACCAAGTAAACACAATTAACCTGATAGAAAGTATTAACACTTATAAAAATAATAGAATATTTGTTCGAGACAACGTAATAAATATGCCTTTATTTTTTCTATCAGTCGATTAATTTTGGATTAAATTGCGGCAATAAAATTGAGGTAATCATAATTTCAAATAGAAAAAAAGAATGATTTACCATTATTTATTTATATTTGAATCCAAAAAACAAACTTAAACGATCAATCTAATAAACTATATTATCACAACTAAGATTGTAAAACTGATTAATTCAATCTGATTTATAAGTTTTGATTAGTGCTCTGCTAAATTAACTCTGGATTTATTTAGAAATAGTTACTCATCAGAGTGATTTTAATTAAGTAATCTCTTAAGATCATCACAAGATTAAGGTTCCTTCTAAATAATGTTGTTAGGATGAAAAGTGTTTTGGGTATTACTTTTAGAAACAATTCATTTTACATAAATAATTTCCCTTAGATTGGTTGTAAGTGATTCTTTTATTCTTTAGCAAGTCTTCAGCTATCTAACATCTATACTTATTTACTTTAATAAAAAAAAAAAACTACGTTATTTCAGCATTTTAACTCTTCTTTGTTAACTCTTATGAAACAGATTGTAAAAATAAAAATAAAAATTAAATTAAATTATGCAATAAAAGTTGAAATGTTTCATTACCCACTGATATGTTCTAATAAATGTTCAAGAACAGTTTCCTTTTTAATAAAAGAATTTCCCATACGTAATTATTTTAGTTTTTATTATAAATATGAACTATAATAAAAACTATTCGGATTGTAATTTCAAAGTTACATATGTAAGGCTGAAGACAATCTTCTAAAAAACTTATGAAATAATAAAAGTTTGATAAAATAATTAACTGACTTCACCAAAATCAATTAATTAATATATATATATATATTTTTTTTTTCTTCAGAAAAACCTGTTCTTTGTTTCAATCTTAACTCCAACTGGAGCTATAACTCATAATTGGATACAGATACAAACTACCAACAGATGATTAACACAGAGATGAATACGAAGGAATATTAATGATCAACTTCTATTTAACTATTTTTTAGTTAATAATTAATCAATTTGTACAATTCAGGAACGAACATACCTGACATGTAAAAGTAATAATTTTTTACTAATGGAATTTCATGGAAATAAAAAACTGTGCATTACAAAGGAAACCTATAAAAGAACAAAACTAATAACATTACCTGAAAACAAGCAAACCGGTTTAGTGTTAAATTAAATTTTTTGAAAGAGGATAAATATGATAGTCCCCTCTGGTATTGAGCCCCGGATTGAAAATTCTAGAAACAATCTATCTAAGGAAATTTGCACTTTGTGCAAAACATACAAAAAATAATTAATAAATTATAAATATATTCAATTTTTTTTTCTTTAGTAAAAACTAGAAATACCAACAAGTGATTTCAGTTGAGCTTGAATTAAATATACTGCAACTAATTTCTTACTGTTACGTACTTTGATATAACAGTACCTACCTTATAGATATGTAATTATATACATAATTGTCAAAACTTAAATTTAAACATTCATACATTTATTGTTGATGGCGAAACTCTTGAATTTGGTAATTTAAGATTAATTTGTAAAATATATGTCTACAGAAAAATATGCATGCTTTAAAACTAGATACTGCATATTTCATTATTCTGTAAACCCAGCAAAATTACACTAAGATATAGATGCTGTCAGTATCTTAAGCAAAAAATATTGGAAATCTTTGATTTGTACGTAAAGTAATTTTTTGTGCTATAAATTGCGCATCTAGGTTTTCTAAAAACTAGAAATGAAATACTACACTTCAGCTGAGCTTCACATCATCATCATCTTCTGCTGCATCACCTGGTTTTCCAGGGCCCCTAAGTAATTTTCTTATAACAAATCTTCCAATGGAGTAAATAAAGGCCAATGAAATCAAGTAAAGCAGGATTGTGCAGATTTTTACAGGTATAGCAGACTTCTGACTGCCAACAACCTAGAAAAAACATGAGTCTGTAGTATTCAATACTGCTACATCCAGTTTATATTCTCATTGATTTTATAGAGTTATTATATTCTGGTTCAATTTAATAAATAAAGAAATAATCATGCAATTCTGTAACTACTACTAAGGCAAATGAGCTGGTTGCAATGAAAACTGTGCAAGACCATCAATAAAAACATAATATAAGTCCAGATCTTAATTCTTGGTTTTATATTTCAGGCATCAAGGATAATATTTGGTTCGGTGTCTGGCTATTGTCAAATCGATGTCACGAGTATATCACTTACTACCATTTATCCAATTTTCAGGGATTATATGGGTTGGTGCCCAGATGGTTCCATATCAATTTCATTAAATTCCATCTTCTTCTTACATACATACACACAAATGTATTTTCTTAGATATGCTAATATTTCAGAAATGGCTCGTTTGATTTGGCTCAAAATTGAAAGAAAAATGAGTATTGGTAAAGAAATGATACTTTCTCAATTTTATGGCTGTGGATGAGGAAGACACTGATCATATGGAAAGAGAGGTTAAGTTCAAATTATAGTTTTAAAACATTTTGGACTGTATCCAAAAAGTTTAATTCCAACTGTATTCTTTTGTCCATTATATATTACTGGCTTAAAACCTACTATTTTCCAGGTAAGCTTTTGTGATTGGGAGGATTGAGACATAGATTGTCCAGTATAAATTTTACCGAATTCAGTCTACATCTTTGGAGTAGGAGTACTACCTAATCCAATTCATGAATTGGAACTGTTTATGTTTTTGTAAATACATTTTATGAAGGCTGACAAAGTTGAGAATACTGATTTATTCATAGACATATGTATTTTATTATTTTTAATTATACTATCTACTTTTTTTATGTTGATACATATTTAAATTAATTCACAATTTAGTTCACAAATTATAGAAAATAATGTCTTATTTTTTATTGTATTAGTTTCTTTTTAAGTTCAAGCATTATTACAGAATTAAGTTGAATATACATATATGTATATTCAAATTAAATCTCTTGATTTTCATAACCTAAATCATTAAATATTAATTAATTCTAGCGCTAAATTAATGAAGACAGCACAAAAATGTTTGGAGTAGCAGCTATGTCACGGAAGCCACATGCAGCCTAGAGGCCACAGGTTCCCCACCTGTGGTATAGACCTCATGTAATTTGTAAACCTCACTCATATTCTTATATTAAAATATAAGAAAAATATGCTCCTTAAATCAGCTTCTTTCTGGCTGATGATCGGTTTCATTAATATCGAACAAACAAAAAATTATATGTTTTCATTGAATTGTGTTCCATCTATTTTAAAATAGAATAGAATACAAAAATCAACTTTGTTCAGTCACCTTTACATATAACAATGTTGTTAAAAGAAATTAACACTGAATCTGGACAAAAAAAAATATTACAATAAAAGGATAACTAAAACATAAGTAATAAGAAAAGTGCAAATATAGCTTGCTATAAAGATATATTAAAGAAAGCAGATGAGCAATAGGATTACAATATAGCAGCTAAAAATTATAAAATTAAAATAACTAAATGAAATTGGTAAATATAAAAACAAATAAAATAAATGATTTATATCTGTTACGTAAGATGTTTAAATGAATACTCATAATGGTATTATGAAACATTAGAAAAATATTACAATCTATAGGATAACGTGTAGATTGAGGAGAAAGAAAATATAAATAAATATATCAATTGAGAGGAGTGAGTTCAAGGTTAGTAAAAAAATAAATGCATCAGAAAAGAAAAAAAATAACAATACCTACTCACAATGCTCTGAAAAATGATAGGAAGTCTTTTCCATATTCATTAAAACCAAATAAAAAATACATGAAGACAAATACCTTACATAATAATGAATTATAAGCCAGCATTTGGTTCAATTGAGAAGAGAAATTGGAATAATAAGATTTTAGATGCAGATAAGGATGGTCCATGGCTGATTTTAAGCAGAATTAAATTCCTAAAAGCAGTGGAATGTACAATAAAAGAGTGTTCTGCATTTTTGTATTCGCTGATGATCAAAACTCATGGATATCAAACCCATGAATATCGAGGGTTTATTGAACTTCAACAATGGCTTCTTCTCAAGATTTTTTCTCAAACAAAAAAATATAGACCTAATAATATGTAAAAGATAAAATATAGATAAATTTATCTAGAACCAAGAAAATGGTGAGGAAGCAGTACTGACCTCACTTGGCCGACATTTTACTGTCTGTAAAAAACAAACAAACAAAAGCATGGAAATATCAAAATATTGTCAACTAAATTAGAAGAGGCTGTAGAGATGCACAAAATCTTATAAAACATTAAGAAATGGTGAGAATGTAGACAAAATTGTAGGCCCCCAAAAGCACTTGTCTAAGACCAGCGTAATTTACAAATAAACTCAACTCACTAATTTTATTGGTGGGACTGTACAGCAAAACTTTAAAAACTGGACAAAAATCAGCAGGTGAGAGAACTTGTATTTGTTTTATCATGTTATCTGATTATCAGTTAGCCGTGTAACACAAATTGAGCACACGAGTTACTCCGCTTCCTTAGAATAGAATAGAATAGAAAATTAAACTTTATTCTGGGACTAAGTCCCTTTAGAATAACAATATTGAGTTAATACAAAGTTAAGTACAAATCTGGCCAAAAACTAACTTTATGTATGTAAAGAATAAGAGCTTGAAGAATAGTGGCTCGGCCTCTTCCTGTAGTTTCTGCCACTTAATCTCTCACACAAGTTCCTTATTCCCCAGAAGACCATTTGAATCCCTAAGTAATAACAAAAGTCTATTTAAGTTTCTTCTATTTTGATCCTGTAGATTAGATGCATAAGGAATGCTTCTTCCTGAGCATTACAACTTCTTTCTAACTTAACACACACTGCCTACCCTTTCCTGCTTAATTTAATTTGTAATAACAATGGCTTTGGGTTCATTCAATTTCTGCTCAGTGTTCTACTTTTAAAATTCTCTATTATTTCACATTTCAATGCATCCATAAATCCACACATCCTTACATCAGAACCAGACAACGCTATCCTCTACTAAAAGTTTCTAATAAATCATAACTATGTATAAATTTAATCATAAATGAAAGTTTACTTACAGCAATTAGCAACCATGAGCCATATCCCAAACGAACAAGCAGGAAAAGAATAAAGAAAGTCACTTCTATGACTTTATAAACAATTGTGTCCATGTAACCAAGATACCGCAAAAGCCACCTTATCTGAAGCAAGGGGTTGGTTAATTCTAATGAACCTAAACCGCCAACTGCCTCGCTACCTGTAAAATATGAAAACTTTTTTTGAATATCTCGTCTCAGAAAGTTAATAGTTAACTAGTTAGTAAAGAAAATAGATAGGTATTTTAAATTAACTGATATTATCAACTTAAAAGTTAGTAAAATAGGTATTATAAAAATCAAATACACAAACTAAATAGAAATATTACTCGAGTTATAGCAGATTCCTAATTACTAAAAAACATCGAGCAATAAAATCATAAATAAAATTTGTGTTGTTTAGATTACACACACAATCAGAGCTAATGTTATTTGATATAAACAATTAATGTTATTGACCAAATGATCCTAAGGGATTATTTGGTTAATAATGACAACATTACAATTTATTCAGTCAAAGGAAAATAACTAAAAGAAGAAACACAAGATAAAATAAATTATTTTTTCATCAGCAGTGATATTCTTTAAGTCTTAAGTTCATTAGGCATGTGCAACATTCATAAAAAGTTAAGGAAACTTCTAAATATTAATTGGTATTGACTAAGCTAGTAGTTACCTGAGCTCCCGTGGAGCAATATGTAATAAATAGCACATATGGAGGCGAGGTGATGATAAAGCATAATTTTTGGTTCAGGCTGATGTTTTATACACCACCCGAAATCATATACAAAGTAGCCAATGCTTACTAACATAGTTAATACTTGAAGATCAGTGTTATCTTCACCTATAAAAAACAAAGATAAAATTAGAATTCTCACTTAGTTAACTAATAGATACATTTTTAGCTCGCTAAAATTAAGGCCTGAGGAATTAATATAGAAAATTTAACCTGTAAACACAAAATAACCAGACATTGTTCAGAAATGACATATCTTATACATTCTAACATTCAATATTTCCTATTCCAAAATGTATTTAATGGTACCCACAAAAAATGAAATTAGGGATAAGAATTTTACAATAAACAGCTTTTCAACCAATTACAATTTTAATAAAGTAAAATCAAAAAATCTTTAAATATTAATAAGTAATCATTCAGAGTTACTAAATGAATAAAAATGAAAATAAAAAATATAGTGAAATCTGTTATGTTACAATTATTATCCAAAAATATTAAATTGAAATTATTTTAGACAAACATAGAAAAAATCTCAAATTACAAATTTAAATAAATGAGAGTAAGTTAAAGAGGAAAAAGTTATTATAAAAATAATGCTAAAACTTTTACAACAACCGAATATATGTTAATTTATAACATGCATACAGATAGGTTATTTCGAAATGATATTTATAGGCAGGGACAAAAAAAGTTTAAAATGATAAAATATCAGATAAAATTAAGATCAACAGAATGACAAGCAATATCTTGGATTAATATATTCTGATATCATTAATTAATTCAGAATGGTAATTGATAAATTTTCATATAATGAAGTAAAAATATAAAATTCATCAAGTTTACACAGATAAGACAACTTGTTTTCAAAATTTTATGTTTCCACAAAAAATATCACACTAGAAAATGACAAAGTAAAACACTTTTTTCAGGTGTTAGTTAACAACAGTGATTCATAAACTATATATCATTTATAAAATGAGAAAATTAATGAAATGATGTTTACCTGGAGAATAAATCGGATCTGGTCCATACTTAATACTGATGAAAGATAAAATGACCACAATTACAGCATGAATAGCTGCAACAACCCTTGCACAGAATTCTTCTTCCCACTTGTAAAGCTGACGAAATTTTTTATAGACTGCATACCAGCAGAAAGTTGAAATCGCTGAGAAAGTAGTAATTTGAATTATTGAATTAGAAAAGATCATATTATCATTGTCTAATAACCTCACAACGTTAGACAGTATAAGGCATCATTAGCTCCGATTTAATGAGAAACTGTTGAATTAATCACCGGAAAATTTGGAAATTCATGCAGCAATGAATTGTATTCCTGATTAAAATCTCACGAATCATTTACATCAACTACATCACAATCGACTAGAATGCAACCTCCGCGGAGGTTAGCCTTTTGAAGGTTGTGCAGAGAAAACTACCCGCTCATCAGCTGTTTATATTGTGTTGCAATCAATAAGTTTTATAAAAAGGCATTTTCTTTCTGACAGATTCAAAGTAAAAAAAAATCAAATTAAATTTTTCAAAAAGTATAAAAATAGTAAATTTGATCATATAAATTTGATTGAAAGTGCTAATGATATTACAATGAATAGTATTTAATCATATATTATTTTTATGTCAAAACCTGGAGTTTTAATGCTTAATTTACATAGTTCTTTTTAAGTAGTCTTATTTTATCACAGATGATGAGGTTTGGTAAGCAAAACTATTCACAAATGGACGAGGTGTCAATAATCATTTTATTGTCAATAATCATTCTAACAGTACTTAAGTTTATATCTTATAATATGTTTTTTTTTCGTGAAAAACTAAGATTTTTTCATAATTATTTTACGTATACATATATTTCAATTAAATAAAACTATTTTTGATTTTGTAGTTCTCGATCTAGACTTCCTGCTTCTTATTGACCGGGCCTTGTTAACCTTGCGCACAGCAAGACATCGTGCAAAGGTCTTTTGGTTAATACTCAGTGGCTTAAACCTATTGTGCCTGCTATTTCTTATAAAGGTAAATAGTGCTTCTAAAGATTATTCTTTACAAGAATTCTATTATGTACTTTCTTTTGTAGTTATAAGATTTAGTTCCTTTTGAAAGATTTATTTAAGAATGCCCATGCTGAATCGCCATTTTCTTTTCTAGGCGCGAAAACGATAGTAAGATTGAGCTTGGAGATTTTCGCCATGGGTGTTTGCGAGCTTTTTGGGTATCAGTGCTGTGTTCACGATTCCGTTAAGTCCCTACCTGGGTACGAAGATAAACGATCGAAACAAGCTCATATTGTTGGTAAGTTAAGTCTAAATTTAGTTTTAGAGGTTTTTAAGTTTCCAAACTCAGTGAACGATCTGGGCCTTGCCTTTCTAAGGAATCACGTTGTTAGCTTATCCATATATCTTGTGTCGCTTGTGCTACTGTTTTTAGTTTTAAATTGTTAGAATAGTTTAGTATTATCTCTCTAGAGTGATATAAGTTCTGTTAATTAAAAAAAAAAAAATTAACTTATATGTCCTACTCTTTATTTTTTAAGAACATTAAGTTCAGTCGTTATTTACTGTATGCTAATTGTCCTTTTAATTTTTATAACTTTTATTCTAGAATATTTTAAGTATTCCTTTGCTGTATGATTTTTTTTTCCCAGCATATGTCAGTTTAATCATCATATTATAGGGATGTAGTACTGTTAGTGAAACATTGTTACAATTTTGTTTCATTTGTCTAATTTTATTTTATAACTGTTTTATGGTCGTAATTATTATAAAATTGTCAATTCCTTGTTTTTAGTCAAGGTCATTATGGTGTTGATATTGTTCATATGTTCTTAAACTATGAATGTAAAACAGCGAAAATAATATTTTTAAATTCTTCTGAGCAGAATAATTTTTTATTCAGTTTAATTCAATAAAATTGTCAAAAATCTATGTCATGTCATAACCTCCCTTCTAGCACATAGTTAATATAGTTTTGGCAGTATTATTTTTTTTTAAAGCCCTACTGTCACTTCTTTTCTATTTTATCTACTTAAAAATTTTAAAGTTGTATTGTCTCAAGCATATTTTACCATGGGTAGAAAGGATATAGGTTAATTTCCTTTATTTTAGAATACATGCATATACACAGTTTATTGATTATAATACATGTTTGAAAACATATATTTTAACTGAGATTGACAGGTTTATATGTCAAAGCACTTCTTTTGTTTTATACATTCAATGTGGGCTATCCTTTATAATATTCAGTTAAACTATGGTGTTTGTCCAGTGCTTACAATAAATCGACATAGGTTTCTCTTAACAGTTATTTTAATAATTTGCAAAATTACTTTTATAATTACATACATTCCTACCTCAGTATTTATTCCCTACATAAAAAAAAAATCTCTTATACTTTCAGTGATTCAAGCAGTTGTTTAAGTAGTATGTTTTTATTAAAAACTGTCTTTAACAATTTTTATTCAGTTATTGGAATTTATTTAAATAACAATTTATGATTAAATTTTTTTGTTGGGTTTATTTATCGATGTATTTAAATATTACACACACACAATTAAATATATATATAATTGTATATCATATCAGTTATTCAGTTTTCTCAATTAAGTTAGATATTAACAAAAATCAATTTTATAATTCCGTCTGATTGTTTTGTTTCATTTTGATTATTAACTTTTTAAATGGGTGTAGAAACCTAAATTCTCAATATTTTTAAATCTGATGTACAAATTTTGATTTAAATACTGAATCTGCTTGTTAATTAAATTTATTGAACCACTGATTTTGTTATAAATAAAATTTGGCTTAATTTCATTTAATGCTTTACAATGGCTATATTGTCAAGATAATTCTAGTTTTATATATCAACATACAGAAAAAAAATTTCTGTTATTACATTTATTTGATTTCAGGAGTTAAATTATTGAGGTTTCTATTTTGCTCTTATGTTTTCCAATATTTTTCCCAGCTTATTTTGAATTTAAGTGATTATTTTGTAAATATGGTTAGTAGTAGTGAACAAGAAGGAATTCAATGTGGCATAAAAAAAAGAGACATATTACATCCCTGCTCTGTATAGCGGCGTTACTTAGGAATAAAGATTATTAATAGAAATATAACTATTATTAATATTTACTATTTCTATAATTTAGTATTTATTTGACCATATGTAGGCTCTCCCTAAATCATGTTATATTTTAAAACAATTGACATATAAAATTGTTCGGAATAAATTATTTTCATTAGGAAAGTTTTTTTTTCAGGTTTAAGAATTTCATGAATGTTTTTAAGATTTAAATTATTGTATCTGTTTAAATTTCTATGTACATCAAATTAGACTGACTGTAGGTTACATGCCAGTTTTGTTATTTTTATTTATTCAAAAAAATCATCAATATCCAAAACTTTAATTATTACTGGTAGAAAATCTTTACTTAAAGCTTGTTTAATATGACAGCGTACTTCTACTGTTATTGAGGTTTTTCCTGTTACAAAAAAAAATTACACCTTCTCCGTTGCTATGTTGTTGACATGTATAATATAAAAATACTTTCTTGTTAGGAAACTTTTTTTCATCAAAGAGGAACTAATATGAATAATCATTGATTTCCTTATTATCAATAAACCCTGTAAAAAATATGTGTAATTTTTATGAAAATATTCTGTTACTCTAATGTATTTAAATATGGGATAAATTAGAAGTTTATTGAAGCATTGTTTATATAATGCACCTTGATCAGGTTTTTATTTTGTTCTTTACTGTTCAATTCCAAGTGATCTCCATCTCATAAGTAGATTTTAATTTATTCTACTGTTTACTTTAAGTATGTATGTCCTCTATACATATTTTGTTAGCAGTTTAGCCAAATATCATTTCTTAATAATTAGTCCCACACATGAATAATCCTCAAGAAATGTTCCGAAATTGTATTCAATACCTTATTCCTTTGAAAACAATGTTTTAATTGCCAATTATGACATCATTGGCCACTTAATAGAAATATTAGCTTGAAATAGTATTAAGGGTTTTCTTCATCACTCTATTGAAATACCTTATGGTTTTTATAAATACTAGTATGTGTTGATTTTTCTCTTCTTTGGTACTTGGCCAGGACTTTTCTTGAAGGCTTTAAAAACAATTCATATGTAATTTCACAAAACTTTACCAAGAAATTTTAATGGGTTTTATCAAATATTTGTACAGTAACCAGTAACATTTTAACTTTTTTTTTTTTTGCGAAATAAGCCAGCCGAAAACTGCACATATATCATTATTTCCTGGCTTTCCTTTTAGCCCAAACTTTCTTTATTTTTTTTGCTTGTTTCCTTTTTCCATTCTTCTCTCCATTTTCTTTCTACTCCAAAGACCTTCATGTTATTCACTGTTTCTCTGAATTTAGCCCTACCTAGGTATTCCTCTTCTTTTATCCTAGGTCAACCTACCTCTTCCTTTGATGTTCTTCAATCCCATTATTTTGTCAAATATCTGTTTCTTTATCCTATCTTTACCCATTCTTTTTATGTGACCCAAGAATTTCACTCTCCTTTTGCTTATTGATGTTTCTAGATCTTCGGCATTTTCATACCATTCTTAATTCTTTTTAGACCGTTAGTCATTTTAACTTATAGTGATGGAAAAAAGTATTTGCACATCATGTTTTTTGAATAAATGAGTTCAAGGAACCAAAAAAGCTTTCTTCTGCAAAAATGAAAAGTACATTTGTTAAAAACTGAGAAAAATCTTTTGGAAAAGAATGACAACATTCCATAATGAAACAAAAAAAAATTAAAACAATAAAAGTGCTTGGAAAAAAGTATTTGCACATTATGACTCACAAGCTCTGTTTACTTTGGCATTAATCCTCCTGTGTCCATAGGTCATAGGTTTGTTTACTAATTTATCTCTAATCGTTTATTACCAGTATTCTTTAGTCTTTCAATCAGTTTCCTTTAGTCAATAGACAATTATCATGCCAAAGACAAGTGAACTGTATGCCGCCGCAACTCGCAAAAAAATTGTTTTACTGAGGAGTCAGCAAAAAACATTGCCAAATTGCCTATTTCTTAGGGTTGATTTTTTCTACAGTAAGATACGTCATAAAAAGGTATGAAGAACGTGGTTCAACTGAAAACAGTGAGCGTAAAGGGCGTCCAAAAAAGTTAACTCCCAGGCTGAAGAGGAAAATCAGAAAAGAAGCTCTTAAAAATCCTCTGATAAGTTCTCAGTGAATACATTAGTGAAACGAATCGCAAAAAGTGTCTTGCTTTTGCTAGGGAGTACGTACAGAAACCCTTAAGCTTTTGGGAAAATGTCATATTTTCTGACGAAAGCAAATTTAATTTGTTTGGTTCAGATGGTCGAAGGACGATATGGTGACATCGTAATGAAGCTCTAAAGAAGCAAATGTTTTAACAACTGTAAAGCATGGTGGAGGACATGTTATGGTTTGGGGGTGTCTTTCCTACCATGGCGTGAAAAATCTTGTGAGCATCGAAGGCATTTTAAATGCGGAAGGCTATGTGAACATTTTGAGACGCAATTTGCATGTTAGTGCCAAAAAGATGGGAATCAAGGATCTGTACTATTTCCAGCAGGACAACAATCCAAAACATACTGCGAGGAGAACAAAGGAGTGGTTAATATTTAATGTTCTAAGACAGCTCCACTCTCCTCCTCAGTCACCAGATATAAATATCATTGAAAAATTTATGGCACACCCTTGACCAAAATGTAAGAAAACCATATCACTAGTATACATCACCTTAAACAACTTCTTGTTCAAGAATGGGAACAAATAAACGTAGATTTAATTAAAAATCTAGTGCATTCAATGCCCAGACTTCTGCAAGCAATTATTGACGCAAATGGCCTATTTACAAAATATTAAAACTAATAAAATTTAAAATAAATTTGTAAATGTGGAAGTGTGCAAATACTTTTTTCAAAGCACTTTTATTGTTTTAATTATTTTGTTTGGTTATGAAGTGTTTTTAATTTTTTTTTTAAGGTTTTTCAGTTTGTAATAAATTTACTTTTCATTTTTGCAAAGGAAAGCGAAGTTTTTGTTTCCTTGAACTATTTTCTTCATAAAAACTTGTGCAAATATTTTTTTCCATCATTGTTTATTAAATGTTTTTCTTAAATATTAAAAAAAATTCTATATAAATATTTAGAATTAAAGTATTTAAAGCATTGTTTGTTGTTTCTTCTCTATTTTTTTTTTATTTTTTATTTATTTTTATTTATTATTTTTTTTTGTCGTTATTGTGGGCTTATTTGTCATTAGGAGAAAAAAAAAAAAATGGGTACTTGGTTAATAGCTGGTTGGGTCCGCCTGCTTTCTGCCAATGTTTATAACCTTAACACTGATAATTCTGATAAGACTCTGATAATATCTTCGTATTCACATTTATTGTATTATATTCATATTATTGAAATTGTAAACAATAACAAATGTAATAATAGAAAAATACTTTTATTTTACAAGATATATATTAAATAGACCAAAACATTATGCATATATAATAAAAAAACATTACAAAATGTATATAAAACTAAATGAAATAATAATAAAAAAAAACACTTAAACAACACATGTACATATAAAAGAAACACTACAAACAAAATATTTCCATAAAAACCAATTTTATTTTAACTTAATTTATTTTGGTAGGGAAAATAGTTTTATGCTATTTAAAACAGCGAGGAACGGATCCTCTTTTCTGTTAGCCTGCTGCCACAAAAACTCATATAAATATGAATCTATTTGTGTGTGGCTGTTTCTCTGTTTTTTATTTCTTCTCATATCTAAGCCCCATAATCATTCTATGTGTTAAGTATGGACCCCACTTGATAGATGAACAAAATTATGCAGGTGATTCACCTGGAAATGATTATAATTTGCTTCATTGAGTTGTATCCTTTCCAACAGTCCGAATAAATAATGTTTTCCTCTTGTTTATTGTTTTTGATAGCTTCTAATAAATTTGTTGCTACCAAATTTCTGTCAAATCATTTCTGTTGTTTATTTTGATGATAAAATATTCTTCTGTTTCTCAGCAAACTTCGCCAAACATCCATTGCTCTGGTAGAACTCTCCCTACATGATTTTTTTTTTCTTTTAGAAAAAAGACTCGTCTACTTCAACGACATTGCCAGGCCCTCAAGTTTTTTTACTTGACCTGTATAACATGTTATGGGCACAAACCTCTGTTAAAAATTTGTTTCACATTATGATAGTCGGTTGGGATAGTTTCAGCTGCTTTTTCTCCCACTGTATTGTTGTTAAATTATGGGACCATTCATAAACGAATTTTAAAGCCGTTAAAAGAGAAATCCTCGACTACTCTAACCACGTTCCTTTCCTTATAGAAACACTTATGTTACAAGTACAAAAGCATCTCCATTTTATCTTCCCGGCGTCTTGAAAATATTTGAAGATGGCAATTCGAACAATGTAACAACATCCATAATTTTACGAAAATAACACTAACTCACAACTTATACAAGGAACAAGAAATAAATAATAACATAACTTAGGTTAGAGGATATAAGAACGGGAGCTTATGTGAAATAAGATTATATAACCAGGGAGGTTTCGATCCTACCAGCTATTTAACAAGTACCAACAAATGTTAAATGCAGTCGCACATTTCATAGTCTCCTCTTCCCCTTCCCTGTCCATAGTGTCTCGCTTTACCAATGTTAAAATCTGGTCACTTTATCCATAACCCAAAATGCAAATGAATGTCTGTTAACACAAAACTCTCCTGTTTTTGTGTACTGTTGCAGTTATTCAGTTAAGTTTCAATATTTTTTTTTTTTTAATGTTCTTTATCTTATCATCTAAAAATTTTATTATCATCCTTTGAATAATTTTGCTTTTTTTATGTGTTTAACAAGATCCTGCTTAGCATGTTCTGATCATTATTTTTTTTGTCTTTACATGTATTACTTTTACTCATCATTTGTAATTCTTGATATTTATAAATTTTTTGATATTTAATAAAAACTGTTGAAATAATTCCTTATTTATATATCTTCAAACTTTCTACACATTTTTCTTTATTCAGGCCATTAATGTTATGAATTTTTATCTACAATGTTTATATTGATATAAGCCATTTAAAAAGGAAAAGATTTCAAGTTTAACTTTGTTTTTCACTAGTGCTTTTAATGATTTTTCAGATGGAGTTCACTTAAAACATCAGGATGGGAACAGAATTTGTAGAGGGTTGGATAATTTCTCATACCCTAGGTGAAGGCGCTTATGGAGAGTATGTATAAACCTTTTCTTTTTTTTTGTTAATTAAAGTATTTGCATTTTATTTTATATTGCATCATTATTATTCCTCGTTTTAATATAAAAAAAGCTATATTTATGTTAATTACTATGGTAATTTTCATGTTAGCTCCTCTTTTCAGCTGTGATCTCTATAGACAACTTTCAGCGTTCTATTGTGTTAAAAAAAATATATATTTAAACCTAATATTAAAGAAAAATGTTATTCAAGTTGTTAATATATATACACAAATAAATTTCATAGATTTTGAAATGAAACTGTATCATTATTATTATTATTGATATTGATTATCAATTAAATTCCTCACTATAATTTAATAAAGTCATTTAAAATGTTATTTTTTAATCATTTATATTGTTATGTGAGAAAAAGGAGATATCACAATGGATAGTGCAATGAACTCTCAGGTTAGGTGTCCTTTTTGTATTCACCCGCTTCAAAAATTTGTACCTGGTCCTCAAGGAATTAACTGATGGCTGAGATTGACTTGTCTTCTCTCTCAGCATTATCTCCTTGTATGGCTATTGAAATAGCACCCTTGCCAGCTGCTGAACTTGACAATATTTCATGGATTGCAGTGTTACAGGCTATTAATGTTTGAGAAAATATTTTATGTAAATGAAACCATTCCTACATTGTCACACTGCCCTATTGTGGTTCTAACCTAGCCCTATTCTAATAGAAACTGACCTATTACACTTTTTGGTGGATAAGAAATTTCTAATATCTATCATCTATGGTATAAGAAGAACCTTACTTTTGTCCTATGCCAGAAGCTATATTAGGGTTTTAAATCAGGTAGCTGAAAAACAGGAGTGCTATATGTTCGTATAAAACTAGAGTGAGAGGGAATAACTAGAGAAAGTAGATAAAAATTATTTTTTTCTAATTTTCCACAAGGAACTAAATTGAAATGTCCTTAAGCAGTTGTACATTTTAATAAATATGAGCAAGATGACTTTGGGCTGACTAATGTCTTTGTTTTCTTATTAAGTTAGAAATACGCAAATCAGTCACCTTTAACAGTTCATCAAATGAATAAAACTTAGAATGGGGTGCTAGAAGTGACTGATTATTTGATTCTTAACTGTGGTACTAATTTCAAACAGGCGTTTTAGTATGGAATCGGCCCTATAAAGAAAGTAGACGTTTTACCATTATCCTTTCTTTGATGCAGTCCATTTATAGTTTTATTATTAAATATTGTCATCAGGTTCAGTTAGAACTTTTAATTTGTAAAATGTTTCTAAGTGTTAATTTTATTTCAGGGTGAAATTGGTGATCAATAAGCACACTGGAGATTGTGTTGCTATGAAAGTAATCGATCTTGCGAAAGGAGGTGATTCAGTGAGGGCGTGTGTTGAAAAGGAAGTCAAGATACACAAACTGTTGAAGGATAAACATTTGATCAGATGTTACGGATCAAGGGAACAATCAAACTTTTTCTATATTTTCCTCGAATATGCTTGTCATGGAGAACTTTTTGACAGAATAGGTAAATATTAAAGTTCATTGTTTTGTCCTCGTTTCATTAAAAAAAAAAATTCTCTTTAAATTTTGTTTTAAAGTAATAATTTTTTATTAATATAAGTTACTATGTCTGGTAAGCTTCAAAACAAATTTTGAGGTTTAATGTTTAGCAATAGAATTGTTTTATTGTTTCACGATATCCAATGGCAATTTACAAGCCTTGCAAGTCTAATATTAAAATCTGCTTCATATTATTAGTTTCATTGAAATATTTTAAAGCTTAATAGGTCCCAAATTATTAGAAAACTAAGAATATAACATAGGGATCGAATTAGGAATACAACATTTATTGAAGGTTGGTTGATTATTGTATCAACTTCTTAATATTAATAATAGTAAAACTGATTTATATTTAAGATTTTTAAAGTACATTAATTTGTGTAAGTTATTTTGTACCTAACCTTTTCAGTCCCTTGATTGACTGAGTTGTTAAACATGACAGATATCCAATTTTTACGTAATTACTTACTAGTAAATTAGTTTACTTTTTCTTTTTTTATTTCTTTTTCCGAACAAAGTATATTCCAATTGCTATAAAATATCCATTTTTTTATAAATTAGAAATTCTTCATAGAACAAACAAAGTTATAAACGAATGCGAGTTGACATATTTTAAATAAATTCTATTGGTGAACTATTAACAGAAAGTAAGAACTACAATCTCTCCCTACTACCTACGATATAAATAAAGCTATATTATGAATATAGTTTTCATATTCCCAGTGTATGAAGATAATGAATTGTACCTATATTTTGCAGAATAACAGTCTTACTGGTTTCCTACTTTCCGTTATGGAGAAGCTTTTTCATAAAAATTCTTTCTCTATCTATTATTGAGTGTTTGTTATGCAGAATTCCTGAAAATTATAAAATTACAGAAAACTTATAGGAATTATAAGTATGATATAATATAAAATGTCCGTTATAGGTAGAAATGTGCTAAGAGACATTCCACTTTATTTTATTATTATTTTCAACTCAACTTTACATAGAAATTCATGGTGTATTATTTTTGTTATTGATTTTCATTATTGCTCTTTATTTCAATATTTCTCTTTGTTCCTTATTTTTACAAGGTTTTCATTTTTTAAGTTGTATTTTAGGGTTAATCTCTCACATTAATTTGTTAAAATGTTTTGATAAGTAAAACAGATAGATTACAAATCCTAATACTACTTGACATTTAATATTGAGTTACTTCATTTGCTTAAACGAACTTGTGTTTAATATATTTTAAAAACATTTTTATCGAGTAATTTTCATGTGTTGTTAGCATTAATATTAATTGATTTCATTAATTTTTAGAACCGGATGTTGGTATGCCGCCTGCAGATGCTCAGAAGTTCATGAAACAGCTGATTGCGGGTGTGGTAGGTTATATCAATCACTTTTTATAGTTAATATGAGATAATATCAGTTTCAGTTCCTAGGTTGCGGTGCAAGCAAAAGAGAAATTATAACGTAATTTTTATTTTATGTAACTTCTGTTACCTTCAAATTCAATTCAAAATTTCTACTCTATAGGAAGAAGCTTGGAGAAAATCCACAGTAGTAATCCATTGTGGGAAAAATTAAATATATATTTTATGTCCTTTATCCATTTTTTAAAAATGGAAATTATACTTTCACAAAAAGTAATTCTTAATATCTCAGAAATAATAAATCTTCACGGAACTGCTCATGGTTAGCAGGAAAAAGTTATGGAGTCCATTGGTTTTTATTTTGTGACTAGTAAATTGTTAATTTTTTTTTGGGAGGAGGTGTAAGTACATCTAAAGAAAATATAGTGATACGGTAAATGTACCAGTAATAGACACTTAAGGAAAATTTTTCAACATTAATGTACACTACAGCTTTAGTTAGCTAATAGTGGATCTTCACGAATGGATTTAACAGAAAGCAAATTTAGTCTTTCATCACAATGTGTGTGTTTTGTGTCATTTTTCATATAAAAATTAGAAAATTCGAATACATGATTTTGTGCCAATAATAGACACAATTTTCAATGATCCAGTAATAGACACTCTTGTACCAGACTTTTGTACTAGTTATAAACAGGCTCTTTTTATTGGAAAAAATTATAATAAAACAAATTATAATGTTATATATATATTTAATGACAGGCAAATGCATTAATAAGTAAGATTATTTATTATAATACATTTACCTTTTTTTAGTCTGGCCAAGGCTCTCTCTTTCTTCCTAACTTTCTAATCTCTTTTGATATTTCTTTTCTGTTGATGGTATTCTTACCATTGTTTGGATGTGATTGCACTTGGTATTTTTTATCTTATTATCTCCCTTGATTCTTTTGAGGTTCTGGCCAGAACAATATTCTTTTGAATGGACTTGTTATTAAGTTTATACCTTTATTTGTCATAAAATTTTACGTGTAAGTGGCGCTGTCCATTAAACATTTATATAGACTTATTCGAAGTATTACCGAAAGATTTGTAATTTTTATCCATGAATCAGATAGCCTGAGATGTCAAAAATGATTATTACTAGTTTCTGTGATCGGAATTAATTAGAACTTTCAGACATACTATTTTTAAATATTAACTGACCAATCAAATTAATTCCCATATTTTCCTCGAATATGCTTGTCATGGAGAACTTTTTGACAGAATAGGTAAATATTAAATTTCATTGTTTTGTCCTCGTTTCAGTAAAAAAAAAAAAATTCCCTTTGAATTTTGTTTCAAAGTAATTATTTTTTATTAATATAAGTTACTATGTCTGGTGAGCTTCAATACAAATTTTGAGATTTAATGTTTAGCAATAAAATTGTTTCACTATATCAATGTTAAAAAAGGAAATAAAGCTAATGAAATTATTCAGTATTAGACATGGGTGTCTTCTATTACTATTTCTATTGCTTCAAAACTGTTTCAGTAATGGAGACCCAAGGTTTGGAGATAATAGGTTATTTTATATAATTTCAAACTATAAAAAATCTGCATGGTTTTTTAATTAAGAATAGAAAAGTATCGTCTAATAAATTAAACATTCCAAATTATGCATACAATTTCAAACACCTCCTAAACAAAAGTGATAAGGCAAATTCTTTGTGACAAACCCTTAGTTTTGTTTGTTTTAATAAAAAATGAACTGCCAAGCGGCCATGAAATGAGCTGTTGTTCAGATATCACCTTTCTTAGTATGACAGCTGAAAAGCTTATTGATCGTTCATGAATTTAAAAGTGTCTATTACTGGTACATTTACGTTATTACAACTGAAAACATGTCAAGTTTTATAACTATTAACAAAAAAAAAATTAATTAATTTTTTAAGAATTTCATAAATTATGAATAGTTTCATGTTATACAGCTTACATAAAAACACTAAAGAAATATTTAACAATAAATTTTTTAGTCTTAAATAATAATTAGGAATTATTATTTTAATTAAATTTATTTCTTAAATTATCATGAAATATTGGTCACTGATACATGCTTCCTTCAAGTATCATTCGATTCAGAACTTACAAAGTTGTAAAAATCAATTACCAATTGTTACTTATATCATATCATTTCTCTTGCTCTGAATTTTGTCCTTATAAAGATGCTTTCATCCGACTGTACAAAATTCTGCTACGGTTTTTTACCAATTATGTGTACAAAAATAAAGTACACTTCCTATATTGTCAGATCTCAGCACCTATTGGATATGAGGGAAGCTTTTATAAATTATTTCAGTTGAGGTATAGACAAGTTCATCTTGGCAAATTTTGAAACACCCCTGTTAGCAATCCAGGATCCATATCAATTAAGGAATACAAGTTTTGTGCTTGATTTGTTGGGATTTAGTAGCCAATAATCTGAAGTATTTATTGCCTCTATTTTATTCTCCCAATGTCAAAAATTGTTTTACCTTAACACATGTTTTTATTTTTGCACTCAGCATCATATTTCCTTTTACAGTCTTATCTCCATAGATGTGGTGTCACACATCGTGACATAAAACCAGAAAACCTTCTGCTGGATAAAGATGATAACCTGAAGATTTCTGATTTAGGTTTGGCCACAGTCTTCAGGTACAATGGAATGGTAAGTTATTATTACTTAGTTTGATGTATATTATATACCATAAATTTTTGACGTACATTATATATTTATATGTTAATATTTTTGTAATAGGAAAGGACTCTTGAAAAGAAATGTGGCACGCTTCCCTACGTAGCACCCGAAGTTTTGGTTAGGAGATACGCTGCAGCCCCTGCTGATATTTGGTCTTGCGGTATTGTGCTTGTCGCTATGCTGGCTGGTGGTAAGTCTTTCCCATATTACTGCATTATAAGTAGATTGAAGTAGTAAATGTTTTAAGTAGACAAATTGAATTTTGCATTAAATTTGTTTTTATATTTGCGTCTTATGCATGATTGAGTGTAACAGGACCATATTGGCTGTATAACATAGTTTTCAGCTTGTCTATTATACTTATGCAATTTTTGCTTTAATTCAATTTTTCTTTGTTATTCATATTTTTGTATCTGTTGTTCAACAAAAATTCAAATTATGATTTTAGTTCAGCCGATTTTTTTTTTTTTTTTTCAATCTTCACAGTTTTTTTATATTTGTCTTATAAGTTGACAAGCTCAAGAGTTAAATAAATTAATATTTGACTCCTCTACCCAATAAATATTACGATTTTTAGGATCACGGGATGACACCTTTAATTAGTTTCATATTGACCAAAAATTCAACTTTTCATTTATTTAGTTACATATAAATCTTCAGTATAAATAAAAATATCTATTTTACTCAAACAAAAAAAAAATTTGCTGTACCGAATTGTACGAATGGTAAACGTCCCAAGGGGTAGACCAAAGCGAAGGTGGGAAGATTGCATTAAAGCCAATCTGAAGAGACTAGGTTTGGACGGTGAACCGTAGAGAGAGGTGTGTAATAAACGATTGGTGGTGTCAACCTTTGGGTTTGCTGAGCCTTTTATTATTATTACTCAAAAAAAAGAAATCAATATTAGTCCAATTTTGGTATTTTTAAATATTTCATATTTTCATTTATAGTGTTTATATGTAGTACTGATCCTATAAATCACAGTAATTTTATTTTTTAAGGGAGTTGACATCTTATTGTACATCCGAAAATTTCTAGTACAGTAGAATTCCAGTAACTCGTATCTTCGGTTTGTATACGAATTTCTGGGATAATCAATTACTAAACCAGCAAGATCAATATACAATTTTGTTAATATTTATAAGTTTGTATGGCTGTTAAGAATGTTCCTCTTATTAAATAGTGCTCATGAATTTTTTTTTACTGATAAAACAATTATAATGTCTCCATTAAGTTTTAATTTTAGATTGTTTTCATTTTATTTTTTAAAGCTACCAACTCGCCATAGATAGGTTTTCCCTAGTCCTTTATAATTAATGTTTATTTTTTTGTAAGAATGATACAACTTTAGGACTCATTACTTCAGTCAGATCGCCTTTAGTTTTAATGATTTATTTTCTTTAGTGAAAATACTCATACATTCGACATAAATAAAGGTACATACTACTGAAATTGATATGATACTCTCTTACTTGCTTCTGTTTTTATTTAAAAACGGTTTTACATTTTTTTTTCTATAAATATGAATTGTTAAACCTATTACAGGACTTCAAGAACTATAATGACAATGATTATGAATTACTTGAGAATGGAACCATTATTTTTGTAATTATTGGATGGAGTTTTTTTCTTGGAACCGTTTAATTCGTACCAATTATCAGGGTTCTACTGTATTTTAAAAAAGAGTTACAAAGCTTTCTATTTGCTCTTGTTGTTTTATTGTTAAAATTTTTATTATGAAGCATTTGTAATTTTATAATTATTTTGAAGTAACTGTTACTCATAAGTACTAACAGGAACATCTGACTTGGAACCTGATAGAACTGTGAAGGATACTTCCTTGTCTTTGGTATCCTAGCTGTAGGTGATATTTATCCTAAAGCTATTGTACCAAATATAGGGTGGTATATACCAATTTCAATGTATTCTGCATCTTGTTCCTGATTTTACTAAAATTACTTTTTAATTTATTTATTTTTTTAAATTTTTATAAAACCTGAATTGTATGTATTAGATTAAATAGCTGCTGTTATTTGTTTACAGTACAACACATGAAATGTCAGTTTTGTCGGGATGTACATTGATTAGAAAAGATTTTATTAAGTGAAAATTAAATCAATTATATGATAAATATTTTTTTAGTGCATGTCACATTAATTTTCTTTTTTATTCTGAAAAGTTAGAAATTCCAGAAGAATCTCAATTTTTGGAAAGCAATTTAAACAGCTCAAAGATCAACCATTTAATTTTCAAAAAAGTCATAATAATTTTTGAAAATTATTATTTAGACTTCTGACCAAGAACTGTTTTCATTCTAGCGATATAGAATTAATTTATTTTTTATTGATTCTTTATTTCTAAATTTAACTTTTTATGATTTCTCTAATAATTCAGTATTTTTTTTTTCTTTATTTGTTCATTTTTTATACAAACTATCTTTACGTTATTTATTTATTTTAGGCTGTGTATTGTAACTTTATTTTATATTTAGCATGCCTTAATTGCATTCTATTCATATCTATTAAAACTTATAAAAATAATATAGGAATTTACTCTATATTTTTGTTAAAATATATCGAAAGCCATACTGCAAAAGCCTATAAGAACAAAAACTAAACATTTTCAGAAGACTAAAAATAACTGCATATTTTTTGTTCTATGAGCATTATATTTTGGGTTCAATCAATCAATTTTTTATTTTATTTTTCCAAAATGCTTAGAAACAATACTTCTAATGAATCTGAATAAAAAATTTAGCAAGTATTTGATCACACGGGTTATTCACTTTTCTGTCTTCCGATATTGGGCGGCTTGAACTGAGTGCATGCGCCCTATTTCGGAATAGTCCATGAAAGATTAGTTTTTAACGTACTCGACTTTTTATGGATATTGATTGATTCACGATTGCTGTTATGTTCTAGTTAACCTGCTGATGTGTAGATCACTTCGTTTCCGAGCTTGAAATTTTGAAGATTCATTGGTTTGAAAAGATAAACTAGAGTTCCTTTATCGTCTCATGTTAAATTTTCCAATCAATGAAATCAATTCTCTGTCTCTCATTATTTTAAAATCGGCGGCATTGTAATTTTTTTCCAGCCTAGCTCATTTTGCAGTGTCCAGGAGGTTTAGATTTTTTTGAAGGCCGTTTAATGTTATATTTCCAATTACCATGCCCTTCTTTGCTTCCTCTAGTTCCATGGTAAGCTGTGCCGAACTCAGAGCAAGGAAACTCAAGTATTTGCCCAGAGGCACCGGGCTGGAAGTGCCCGCTACTTATTAGAACTTTAAAAAATGAATACAAAGTGTATAAGAAAAATGAATTTTAGCCAATTAATAAAGCTAATTGATACTGTAGTCTTAAGTGAAGCTATGCGAAAAAGGCTTTATACATTCTGTATTTATATGACCAACTTTCATTGTAATTTACAGATTTTTTATATCACAATTTGCTGGTTTTTAAATTACACGTTTTTACAAAATCCCATATAGAAGAAATAAAGGATTGTTGATTTCATTTTGTTATTGTTATTGGTTCAGAATATGTGTCATGACAAAATTAACCACAAAAGCTCAAAACCTCATTTTCCATAGAAATTGTCCTCCTTACAGGCTTTAGCAGCGTGGCTGTCTACATGTTCTTTTCTTTTTTTTTTTTTTCTTTTTTTTCTTTTTTTTTTTTTTAATAATAAGTTTCACTGGATTGTTGAGAAATGATACTATTAAAGAGACTGGTTGAAGAATTGTAATAAAAATAAAGTGCAATCTCAGTAAAGCGAATTAATTTATGGGAGGTTTCGGATTATAGAAATATTTATGAGAGAACTACATATGTACGATTTAAGATTATAAATATTTTTTAACAGAATATAGAATGTACATATAGTTAAAGATTATAGCTATATGTATAAATAACTTGATTGTCTGAGAGTAAATCCATCTATTTCACTTGGCAATGCTATGTCTGTGCTTATAAAAATCAATCTTTATTAAAATACTGTTATTTTTGTTTTGACTGTTTGAAAATTCTGCACTGCTTCTTCTCTTAGTTGTCAGAAGATTTCTTTCCATGGCATATTTTTCGCTCTTGGGCATTGAATACGAAATTCAAACTTTACTTTGATTTCATTTTTATCAACGGTTACAGTGTATGGGTTATGAGGCAAGAAAGTCAGCATGTTAAACTATGCAGCAAGCGTGCTTCTTTGTTAGTAATTTATCTTTAGTTCTGTTTTTTTTTTTTTTTTTTTTTTTTGTTTTTTCCTTCCTTATAAACATATCTTTCCACTTATCTGCCCTTCGCCCTGTTTATTTATTTATTTTCAGCAAGTCGGACTATTGAGATTGTGCTGTAGTTTCAATCTTATTTTGGTAATTTTTTATCTTATTAGAAATTTGCCTGATAAAACTTTTGTGACAACGAAGATATATTTTGATTAAAACTGACTTTTCATTTTGTAGAACCATGTGTGTTTTATGTGTGCATTCTCTTCTTAAGTTGGTTTCTTTTAGAACTAAAGCACTTTTAATTTTATTTATTTATTCGTTTTTGTAAAATGTAAAGAAATATTTTAGTAATTGTAAGGAAGCAGTAAAATGTCCAAAAACATAAATTAATTCAATCTTAATTGCAATTTTATGATTCATTTAAGCTTTTTAACAGTACATCTTTTTCTGTAATTTGTATGCAAACTTCAAGCTCGTTTATTAGTATGACATTCCAAATCCAACAATCCAAAAGTGAGAAACTGTATTAATTTACTGGGCCAGTTTCATAATTAAGGTTTGGAGATTTTACTGTAGCTAGTAGCTTTTTTTATTTATTTACTATTATATGGTTTATTTATAAGTCATAATTTGGTTTATATGTATTTGCACCACTTTCCTGTACTTTTATTGTTATTTCTATTTATTTTTTAAACCATGTATGTCATTAACCCTCCTCTATAAATGCCAACATTTATTACTTGTTATTAATTAATTAACTAGTGTTATTTTTGTCATTTTAATTGTTGTCCTTCCTATTTTTAAGGATGATTGGATAGATAAATGATACATGTAATTATAAAAATATATATTGAACTTTTATCTGAATTAACCAATGAATAATATAGTTGGTGTCAGTACTGTTCTAATATACCTCATTATCTCCTCTTGTCCCATATCTTATCTGCGGTTGTTTGGTATGACTATCGCTTTGATTGATAGAACTTTTAAACAAGTTGTTAACAAAAAAAGATAATTAATATTCACACGATTACTTCAGTTTTTAAAGGAAACAATTTTATAAAATCAAGGCTATACAATGTGTAAATTTGTACTTTTTTTTTAATTAATGACTCATATTTTTTACTGACCTCTTTCTTCTCAATATTCTTGTACACGAGTTGCTTACATTTTTCAAAATGCTTTATTGGTCTTCTCGGTTAATTTCAATTATTTAAAAAAGTCTTAAATACGAGGTAGTAAAAGTTACTACAGTATTTGGAGAGAGTAGAACTGACCTAGATACTTATAGATGAGGGCTAAGTTAAATTATTGTAAGCTTGGTTTAGGTGTTATTATTTTTAATTTATTGTGTTGTATTACTTAAGTTTAATGCTATGCCAAGGCCTTGTAAATAGCTTATATTTATGTATTACGTATTAGTGATAAGAGCTGCGTTTTTATTTTTATTTAAAACCAACTTTAATAATGTAACAGCTTTATTACAAAATAATTTTAAATGTATGAAAACAAATTTTAGTTCGGGTGGTTTAATTAAAAACCCATCCTTTAAATTAAAAAACAAAACCATTCTTTTATTTTTAGGACTTCGAAATATCAAAACATATTAGAATCTATCCATTCTTGTTTCGATTAGTCCAAATTATTCTTGATTTTATAATATGGTTGATTCACTTTAAATTCTTAGCCTTAGGAACGAGGCTAAATACTCATTAACTTATTTAAGTTTATCTTAATTTTAAATATTTTAATAAACCATCATAACTGTGAATTTTTGACAAGAACTTACGCTGATATTATTTTTCAACAGATACTGAAATACGCGATAAACAATTTATAAATGTTTTAATATTAACTTAAATTATGATTTTTTAATGAATAATAACTGTTTTTAGGAATTCATTTTTACAAGCTGAAGATTAGGTGCTTTGCAATATTCTTGGCTAAAGTTTTGTTATTTGTATATACAATATTTTCTTTTTAATTTAAATTTTTTTATGTTGGTTTTAACATTGTATAAATCTGTTTATGTAATGAGAAGTGAAAAAATATTTAAAATCTGGAATTCTTTTTTCTCTTTAATTGTCCATTTTTGTTGTCATATTCTTGATTTTTTTACCGTCTTATTTCAATAGAATTGCCTTGGGACAAACCACACGTCGACTGTGAAGAATATATTGCTTGGAAAAAAGGAGACTACATGAATCGCCCACCTTGGTCAAAGCTAGACACTATACCATTGTCGCTCATCAAGATAATTCTTAACCATCTCCCATCCGCTCGCCCTACACCACAGCAGATAGCCGATCACCGTTGGTTGAAAACGCCTCTCAAGCAGTCATCGAAATTTCCAGGTTTGTTTCGATTCCATGGTATCTTTACTTTTCTTAAGTTACATATTTAAAATCAGCTTCATGATTATTTTTTTTAGCTTAAGAATCTTGTTCATTGAATTATATATATATATATATATATATATATATATATATATATAATTTTTTAATTATATACTATTTTTAATTTAATTTTATGGGGAAAAAATAATATTATATTATGCTTATTGATTTATTATTCATCTTAAAATATTGATTATGTTGTTAAAAATTTTAATTTTTTTTGTAAATTCATTAATATTGTAGTTGTATGAAAATATTGGTTTGGTTTAATTCTTTTTATAATTTTAATGTTTTCCCCCTTATCTGAGAGTATTTAACTTGCTTGATCAAAGTTTTTGTTACTGAAATATAATTTAAACTTAGTTTTTATTAATTATCTCGCTCTCTTGATTATTATCTTTTAAATAGTGATTCTTTTTACGTTTATTTCATTAGATTGGAAGAGCATTAAACAACATCTACTTCATCAGCACTCCTCATTCCATTAAAATTAACATTGATTTGTATCGAATGTGCATGCAACGAGAACAGAACTAACAAGTGGTGGAGAGAGAAGTAGTCTAATAGCCTAGATGGTGGTTATATGCTTTGATTATAGAATTTGATCCTCTTAACTTCTCTACATTTCACTCTTGTAATATAACATGCATGGAAAGTCGTAATTCTCAATCCTTTGACAATTGATATTTCCATGGCTCTTCAGTGACTTCAGTATGACCTGCCACATTATTTCTACACCTGCAATAGGATTGTTTTTGTAACAAGCAAAAAAAAAGGTTTGTTAGTGTTTTTTTTTTCCCCACATTTTAGATAATTCTTTGTTTCTCCTTCAGTATTCTATTATATATAACTTGAGTAAGATTTCTGTAACTGTTTCTTTGGTACAGTAAATGTGGGACACATCATCAATAATGTTTCCATTGAAGTATTTTGTCTTGTTTAGTATTCTGCAAGCTCCACTAGGCCGCCTCATGTTCTTTATACTCTGACCTGTGTCTTATCAAGGTTGCTATTCTTTGATAGTAGGATCAAGAAGAGCTGACTTAATATTAAGATATAAATTAAATCATTCTGCATGTTGACATTATTTCTTTTTCAGCAGTTTATTCAATCCATTTTCTGATAAAATTTAAATTTTTTAAAAGATATTATTCTGTTTAGACAATAGAAGAAATTACAAATTTCCAAAGGAGGTCTTGCCCAGGTACTAAGTGACTCTGAGTATTATCAGGCCTCAGTAGGCACTGAGTACCTCGCGCTGGCTCTCCTTCATCACACCTCCAGTTCTCAGACTGGACATCGGTTCTTCAACACTATGACGGTGCTTTGGTAAGACAGCTGTATGGCGGTTAATATTACCATAAAGCTAGATTACCAAAGCATTGTCTGGTGTGATCTCGTCTGCCTTCACTTCAGGAAGAACAGCCATTCCTGTAATATTTCTACTGTTGTCCTCTCTTTGGTGATCTAAGCTGTATGACCTTTCAGGTGTATTCATAAAGCTAGATTACCGAAGTCAGGAAAACAGGATGTACTACTGTCTTCGCCTTTGTTAACCATGTTAATTTGTAGTTTTAAGTATTAATAATATTTTCAATGAAAAAGTAGAGAAGTGATTAAAGCAATGTTAAAAGTTTCTTAATAACAGCTTAAAAAGATTCACAGATTTAACAGTTAATTTTGTTGTGGTTTTTAATTTGAACTAGTTTTTATTTCAAATTTTTCATGTATTAGGTTATTAATTGTCATAACACTTGATAGCATGGTATTGGTTTTTTTACTAGGTGCATATTTAAAATTTGTGATATTTTAATTAGTAATACACTCTAATTGCCATTAAGATTTTTAAAATATGTTTTAATATTCCATAATTCATGAAAAGTTGTTGCGAAATGATGGTTTTAAAATTCATTTAATTTTTTTTAAAACAAAGATGTCAACTATCTGCTGTTAATGTAGTCTCTAGTTTAAAAAAAAAAATCCACACGATAAATTTTTTTAGTATTCCTTATGAACAAGTGCACCATTTTATTATAAAAACCTATAAATTATTAAGGCAGAGATTAAGTTTTTCTGATATTTTTGCTTTTAGAAATAACAACAAACTCATTTCTTAAATAGTTTATTTTTAAAAGTAATCAAATTTCCAAACTTCTGAAAAATAAAAACTTTAACTCGACCTCCATTTATTCATTGGTATTACTGAAGGTTGTAGTTAATTAGTTTTATGATGTAATTAAGATTTGTTTATTTTATTTTATTTTTCTTTAAAATAACTTCTGTTAATAGATATTTATTATTAGATTTCTAACATTGTGTATGACATCATTTTAGTTGTATGGTTTGCTTTTGTATTTTATATAAATTAGTTGTTGAGTTATAGTTATTACATTTGTTTTATTTTATTTTAGTTAATTTTTATCAGACCGTTTGTATGTTTATTATAATTAACAGTACATTATTTGATTTATTGTACTGTATGTTGAAAAAAAAAATTTGTTACTGTTTTCATATGAGTGGCCTCATATAAAAGACTGGTGGACATTTGTCATTTTTAAAAAGTTCAGAAAAAGTCACTTCTGTGTAACACTGCTTCAATTTAAACCTATTCTAATGATTTTTTTTTTTCGTAATTCAACTTAAATGTTTTTAAACAAAATCATCAAAAACAGAGTAGAACATATAAAACAAAAATTGACTTTTTCTATACTTTCTAAAAATGTCAGATTTTCATGTTTGATATAAAGCCGCTTATTATTAATTATGTATACAGAAAATTTCTTTTTATTTTTCTTTGATTCTTTATGAGGAATAATTTATTGAAGTTTCTTTTTAAGTTATCATATTTATTTGAATTTAATGGCCATTTCTTGACAGAACTAGAGAAGAAGAGGCTGAAAGAAAATCATGTAACCCTGTCACAAACAGTTCCTTCTAGCTGTGCCGTTGATGCAGAAGTCCCCACATCTTTCTCTCAGCCGACAGCACCTATTGAGGATTTATTAATTTGTACCCAGCAGATAATGGCTACACAGACTACTGTACAGGTTAGTTATTTTGTTTGTTTAATCGACTTCAGGAAAATGGTCTATAGTTTATTAATTTCTGTCAATTTCTCAGAATCCATACGTACTGTAAATTGTTATTGAAAATATTTCAATTTGTGGCTTAAATAAACCCCTGTCTATTCCAGTTCATTCATGAGCCATTACTGAAATAATAGTGAAAATATTAATACTATATTTCTCAAATTATTGAAATCTTAATTCGAATATATCGTAAAAGCATGTTGATAGATCTGGTCTCGATGGTTTTAATCTTGTAAAAGCATACGGATATAAATTCCTATACCTATAGTATCGATAGTAACCTAAAAATGTATTAAATTGAATCACAGTTACGATATTTTTGTATTTGAAAAAAAAGAACAGGATTAATTAGCGTTAAATCAAAGTTTCAAATTTCAAAAGAACTATTGAATATTCTCTTCCTCTTTTATTTTTATTTATCTACTTTCTATCGAAAATATTTTTTTTAATATTGTAATAAAATTCAAATGTAACAGTAGGATGAAGGAATAAATAAATAACCATTGTTTCGTAGAAGTAATTAAAATCTTCCAGAGTTTAAGATTTTTTTAAAATAATTCTTTTAACATTATTTTTCTGATATTCTATTGGTACCTTCCTCAAATATTTTACTTCTTAACATTTTTTGTATTAATTGAAAGTTTGAACCATTCACTTCGAAAATTTAATATACATTAATAGAAGCATAATATTTCACCTCTAGAGATAAAAATTGAAATTATAAATCTAGTTGCTGGTTATGTTGGAAAGTTGGTGTAAAATTGCTATAGAATTAGTAAACAAACTATCCAGGATTTTTTAAGAAGTATAAAATAGACATTGTTGAATTTGTTTCTTCAGTGAAATCAATTCCATCTTGGTCCTTTGGTTTATGGTTTCAAAAACAAAAATGGGCAGTTTTTTTCATTTCTGAACCTAACATTAAAGTGTTCTTATGAAAAATTAGATTTTATAATTTGAATATTCACTTGTTTTTTTTCTGATCAATGTAAAATTTATTATTTTTGTACATTGGTATTGTTTTCATCCTTACGATCGGTAAGTGTAATTAAAAAAGTATATTATCCATATGTCTTTCTCTCTATCATTATCTCTGATTCTCAATGCTCCTCTGTACTTAAAAACCATGTGGAACAATTGGTAAATTTTTAACGAGACAGAGATCAGTTGAAAATGGCCATATATGCTTATAACAATTTAAGTTTATTTACAATTTTTAAAAACTCAGTTGTGATTGTTTTTATTCAATTATTCACATGCTGCTTTTATTATTATTATATCATTGAGTCTTAATTTAATAGTATTAAGTCTTTTATCATTAAATAGCGATTACCATATTATCCTCATGTAGTATATTGGCTAAAAAATTTTGCTAACCGAAATTCTTACAATATTTTTTTCTTTTCTGTTAATTTCTTTTGACTCTTACCAATAGTTCCACTTTCAGTAGTGGGTCTTTACTTTATTTTCAATTCATATGATAATTACATCATTTTTTGTTGGCAGAATTCCTTACAGAAGTTGGTTCGAAGGATGACAAGATTTTATTTATCTCTTGGGGGTGAAGATGCTTTAAATGAGTTAACCTCAGTATTAGAAAAATTAAAGCTAGAATGGAGTGCCACATCTGAAAAAGTGGTAATTCTTGGTTTACTTTGTTTTACATAATTATAAATAGATGTAAGAATAATCTCATTAGAATAAATTATCAAATTTTATCTTTCAGGTTACCGTGTGCTCCATTGATAGAAGAAAAAGTCCTTTGATATTCAAAGCAACAGTTTTTGTAATACAGCCTGGAACTACTCTCATAGACTTCAGACTTTCGAAGGGAGATGGTCTTGAATTTAAAAGACATTTCTTGTCTGTCCGGTCGTCAATGAAGTCGTTCATTGTTAGACCTCCAAGTATTTCAGAGATACCTGATTTCTGATTCATTCCTTTGTTATTTTGATATCTTTGTTAATTTTGATAACCGTTATTTTTTATATTTTTTTTATAGAACTAAAATATAATGTATTTTTATGTAAGAAATAACAGTATTACAAGTTGAGAAAAAGTTTGTTAAATTAAAAAGAAATGTATGTTAGTATTAGAAAGTTGATATTGTAATAAAAAAAAAGTTTACATTATTTTTTGTTTTGATTTCCTTTTTTGGATATTGTACACTATGATCTTTCATTTTAGTAAGGATTTTTTAATATGAGTGAGGCAGTTATCATTGTTTATGAGTATACAGTAGTCTCACCAATCCAGGCAGAGGTTTTAAAATAAAATTTAGTTAACTAAAAAATTTAATTTGAAGATTTCGTTATTTGTCTTAGGCTAGGGTTAACACACATGCATGAATCAGATGATTTGGGACTGTTCTCTCTGTTATGCTGTTGATTGTTTTGGTAAATACCCAAACAATGGGCTTATACATTCATGTGTTTGCCAATAGCTTTATTTAGTTTTTAATACTCTTGATTTTTTATGTAAACAATATTATTGTGATGTGCTTTATGGTACTGAACAGTAAATAAATTGAGTTACGATCACAAAGATATTTGTTTTGTTAACCCTATTTCAGTCTATATCGAATGTTGATCTATATATAGATTATTTTCATAATGGTGACAAAATAAACAAACAAGACTGGAGAATTATAATTGAAATCATTTTAATTGTGTTCTCTCTTACTGCAACCCTCAACCTTATAGATTATTTTCTTATTATTCAAAATGATATTAAATTGAAGGAAAAGGTGACAAGTTTCTAAAAAAATTTTTTTTTTACTGTATCACTTGGTATGGGAGATCTCCCTTAAGTGTCCTAAGATAGGATAGGTCACCTGTTATTGTCTGGTGGAGTCTTGATGGCCTATGATTGTTTCACATTTGGAAGTGAACAGCCAATAGTTCGCTTGCTAAGAGGACCATTAAGTAGAACCACTAGTTAGAGGATTGATTATTCTAAATATGTGAATTACCAAAAAAATTATCTTCATTAGTCAGCATTAATGAACATGTGAAGTCCATATATCAAAAAAATTAAGTTCAAACCATCATCATTGCATTTCAGGAAATACAATATGTATTTCATCACCTTTTTAAAACTACCTTCAATTTTAGACCTACTAAGAAATTTCAACCAACACTTAAATTCTATGTTTAACAATTGTAGTTTGTTTTTCTATTGCCACAAGTGTGGCTGAGAGTAAGAAACCCCAGTCCACGTTCTCCAAAGCTTTTGATTCAGTAGATCACAACATCCTTCTACCAAACTTAAAATTAAAAATATCTCCTTTTCTTCTAGTTCCCTTAATTGTTTCCAATCCATCCTTACCAGTCGCTCCCATTATGTTGTTATCCCTTATAGACCCCCTCTCTCCCATGAGAATCTTTATCCTTCTCCAGAAGCGTTCCACAAGGCTCTTCCTTATTTCCCATCCTCTATTCTTCACTCTCAATATCACCTGTCTGTCAACGATGTTCAAATTTACCTCCCCTTCAATCCGACCGATTCCTCAGATGCCAGCCTATAACTCCAAGAAGATATTAATAGAATAGGTGCTTGGGCAAACCTCAACAGGCTCACTCTTAACCCGAAAGCCATCTTCATTGGATCCCTCTCACTTCTCAAATCCTCAGTATCCCCCAATCTTCTCCTGAACACCTCGCCTATCTTATTCCATTTTACTTTACTTTACTCCTCAGCGCTATAGCCCGTGTAGGACCTTGGCCTTCTCAACAATATGTCGCCACTCGTCTCGGTCCAATGAGACAGCCTTCCTCCGCCTGACACCAAGCTGTCTCAAATCCGCCTCAACATCCTCCAGCCAATGGAGTGGTGGCCTTCCTGTCTTCCTCCCCTTCTTGCTCCTCCAGGTCCCCCATATAATATTTTCCTCGGTACTTGGTCCACTGCCATCCTTTCCACATGCCCTAACCATCTTATTAGTCCTGCCTTAATCACACTAACGAGATCTGTGTCCCTGTATTGTCGCAACTCCCGATTGTATTGGGACCTATAAACGCCCTCTTTGCATATGGGCCAGTAAATCCTCCTAAGAATCTTACATTCCAAGAGCCCTCTCATGTTTTGCTTCTGCATGTGACTACCAGTCGAATCATTGTTTTATAGATTGTCAATTTGGCATTCCCTGATAGTCTTCGAAATGTGAGTAGTCGTAAAAAGTATATGGCATAAAAACAGGCTTCCCACAGCCATCCTGGCTCTTATCTCAGCTCCTACGTCATTGTCTGCCGTCATTAGAGATCCCAGGTACTTGGGACTCTGCATACTGGGAACTCGTGTTGGCCTATGTTCAATGTCCAATCTTGGTGAGGGCGATGTCTTTAACTCTTCATGCGATTCATATATCTTATTCCATACTTCTCATAAAAACTAAGGTGTTACTTTTGATAAAATCCTCTCCTTGAAACTACACATCTCCCAAATTTCCCGTCGCACTATCTCCTTCCTCCTAGTCTCGTCTCTAGTTTTCCCCACTTCCAAATCCCATAGCCTTAAAGTATACCCTAACAAACCCTCCTCCCCCCCCCAAAAAAAAAATTATTTGTGAAGGGATGAGTATGCTGTGTAGCCTTGCACAAAACAGTTGAGTAGCCTTGCAATACTGTTTTAGTCCACTCATATTCAAAAGGGTTTGAGTGCCTCACCATTACCATACAAACTCAATGATAAATATAAAGGAGCATTAAGAAGTAACAAAATGATGTTTAATGATCAGTCAACAGTATACAATTGTATTCTATTTCTTTATAATTCATATATAAATACAAGATATTTCAATATAAAATAATGTAGTACCAAGTGGAGTATAACATTTAATACAAAAGTATTTTAAGAACCAGTTGAGCAAGTTGCATAAGTTATAATAAAATAATTTACATGAAAAGTATATACAGGTAAATAAATGCACAGTAAATCAATTCTAATACACTACCAACAAATAAGTTAAGTTTTGATTTAATTTTCATAAACAAGAAGTCTCTTCAATTTGACACTAGTAGAAATCACACCCCCTATTCAATTCAAGGTACATAAGGAGCCTTCCTTCCAGGAAAACCTTGAGCATATGGCTTGTAAGCATTGGTGGAGAGGTAAAAAATACCACGGGCACTGGAAAAAAAAAAAGTTGCAACCAAATATAATTTAATTGTAATTTCTTCTGCCCATCAATGAGAATTTAAAAAATAAAATTGTGTCTCGTCTCAAAGTGTTATTCAAATGATATTAAAGGTAATATTAGTAGAACTTAAAAAAATCACAACTTACTTGCGACGCACATGCTCTCCCATTAATACATATTCCTTGTCCGAATTTGGAACGCAAAGACCTAAATTATACTGGATCCTGTTGGGGCACGGTACTGCCCAGAATCCAGTTTTACTGTTTATTGATTCAATGAAGTATGGAGTAACTTTGGTATGATCACAGGATAGTGTTTCTAAAATAATAAAAACCATTATATTTCCATAATATATAACAAAAAAAAAAAAAAAAAAAGGCTAACTTTAAATTTTAAGAAATTTCAAATTAGTAGGAATGATTAATAAAAAAAAAAAAAAAATGATCCAACTCAGATCTTAGTTTCAGCAAATACTAATAAATACACACTACTTTAAAGATTTATATGTATGAGTTAAAGCTGAATGTAATGAAAATAACTAGGTATAACTAGTAGTAAAATATCAGGTATCATAAATGACCAGCACAAGTTACTCACTTTATAATTTAAGAGTAACTCGTGTATGAACAGATTCTTTAAATAATTATTCACTTGTAACTTATTTATTAAACTAAACATTTCTTGCTGATACATAATTGCAGTCTTGTAAGATAAACTAAGAACATTTTTAACAAATACAGTCTATGTGGATATATTAATTTAAAGCCAGTCATTTCAGGTTACTTGAAAATTAAAAATAAATTGTTAATAATGGTGGAGAAATTGTCGCCTGTAAATATGGTTGGGAGTTGCAGTCAGAGAGAACACATAAATAAAAATCTTTTATTTTTATTTGTGTGTTCTCTCTGATTGCAACCCATAAACAACTTTCCTAACACCGTTGAAGTTGATATTAGTGATTCCCAACTTACTTATAAGGCTTGCGGAAAGACAACCAGGTTGGCTTGTGCCTCCATTGACATAAAAATCTGCATGACCATTTGGGCCCCACTGACCAAGGATGCCAGCACCAGTGTGAATTACGTCCACAAAATGGGCGTCTGATGGATCCAAGTCATGGGACCGATTGGTTCCCATATAAAATATAATAGTAGGATCTAATCCTGAAACATTCATACATAATCAGTTATAGTATTATCATAAGAAACAAAAAATAAGCTCAAAAACCATCACCTGTTGTATTGGGTCTTAACTTCCAATATTTTCTTTCAACTTTGTAATTACAGTTTCAGGTGATAAAGTGCTATCGGTAACCAAAATCGTTTTCTGTCTAGATTTATTACCCTTATCAACTGAGACACATGATTTCTTAACTCCTAAACAAGATGCTATGTACTTAACTAACTCAGTATTGGCCTCTCCATCCACAGGAGGTGCACTGATTTGAACATCTATTTCTTGTTCATTAATGCCGGTGATTGAATTAACTTTTGCCCCAGGTTTTGCATGGATTTTTATTCTTAAGTTTCCAGCTTTGTCAACAGTTACAGGTTGTTCTGAACTAACAGAAGGTAATGGGGCACCTTTACCCTTCTTTTGCTTAGACATACTACGGGAAAAAAGTGTATATTCAGGAAGTGTTTTTAAGAACAATTGAAACATTTAAACATAATTCAGTGGATTAAAACCAATTCAACAGAAATATAGAATGATTAACCTCTGATACTGAACTTTGGGAAGGTTAAAAACTGTTTGTTAGACAGGTTACAAAAGGTTTATTTTATAATCGAAACTAAAATGTGTATTTAATATAATGAAAAAGTGAATCTTGTGTCGAAATTAAGAATGTTGTAAGATTTATTAATTGCTAATTTATAAAGAAAAATAATTTGTGTAAAATGGTTTATTAATTATTAATTTAAATCTGTGAGAATTTCATTTATTTAGTCGAAAAAAAGCTTTTAATTTTTGTTTCTTAATTTAACGTAATTTTATCGGAGAAAGATCGCATTGGTTTTCAATTAGACGATAACATAATCGTTTTTATTAAAAAAAATTGTAGTTTTTTCTGAGTTTTATAAAAATTATTATTTTTTAGGAGTCCTCTAACATTTATTCACCACGGACCCCTCTCCCCCTCCCAAAAATGGTTTAGTGTATCACTCTCAATGTTTAATTTAGTGGACTATTTCCGACCAATCATAAAAGTCTTCGATCAGTTTCTAGCTTTCTACAAATTGGATTTAATAAGATGGAAGAAATCTGACATATTGAGATTCTCGTAATATTTTTTAAGAAATGTATTGTGAAATATGAATTAAGAGCGTTGTAATTTGCCTAATAAAGAATAAGCGTTAAAGTTGTCGATTTATTGTAAACATAAATGTTTTAATAATACTTACATTCCCTTGTGTCTTAATGCTTAATTATATCCCACAATACAAAATTGTGAACACTGAGCCCAGAATGGTTCGTTTCATCTTGTTGGTTGCAATGATACACTACTTCAATCAACGGATGTTTTATAAATGTGTCTTTAAAAGGAATATTTTAAACTTTATTTCTGCTTCAGGTATGGATTTTTTATATTACTTTACATTTTGCAGAAAACTAAATCGAGTTTGTGAACTTGTTATTCTAAACAAAATGAACAAATATATATATGTATATAACAATATAGTCCGTGGTGCAGACCCCTTTTTATCAACTTATTAACATCCACCTGAAACTTTGTAAATAGCTTAATCGTAATCTACAAATATTTTATTTACGAATATTCTCCGAATTGGAGCGTTTTCAATTTGGAGATGGAAAAATTTTATCTATTTAATTAGGTACTTAAAACTCGTAAATACTCATTTTTATCTACTTAAATCGTTAGATAATTTGAGCACAGAATCGAAAAAAAAAAGTGGCCTTCAAAAATATTGCGCCATTTAGCGAGACCTACACGACAAATCGTCAAAATAAGGAGTTATATATGCCAAATGGTCCAAGATTTTTGTAAGCCACCCTTTTTCTCGATTTGTGATCAAATTATCTTACGATCCAAGTGGAAAGTAAATGGGTATTTACGAGTTTTTAGTACCTGATTAAATAGATAAAGTTTGCCGACCTTCAGATTGAAAACGCCCCAATTCCGAGAATTTTCGTAAATAAAATATTTGTATGTTACGATGAGATAAAGTTATTTAAGAAGTTTCAGGCGTACAAATAATTTGTAGTTAAAGTAGATAGAATTAGTTAAATTGCTTTATCCTAATATGTTAACTGTTTTACATCTTTGAAGTACTACTAATATTCCTGTTACCTAATTATGGGAAGAGGTCAGTAACTAAAATTATTATAGTAAAGTCATAGTAATATTATACCTGTCATCCTCCCAATTTTCGCTCCATCGATATAATTTGCTGTGAGGCCGGCAATGTGCGCCCCTATGCTGTAGCCGATGAGATGAAGAGTTTCTGGCTGCACACCTCGAGGATGCTGGGACAAGTAGTAAACCATCTGGGCAATACATTGTGCAGCGAAGCTTGGGGACCATTGCATCTGGCTCAGGCATGGTAGCTTAACGAGTGTCGAGTAATCGACTATTATTATATTGTAGTCACCCCTCTTGAAATAGGCTGAAAGTTGAAACTGTGAGTTTATTAATTTGTTTATGAATAGTTTTTAGTTTAATTAATGATCCTACTCTATATTGAAAATAATGGAGTAGGAATAATGCTGAAGCTATTAGAAATTTTCCGCGATGTGAAATGTCTCTGAAATAATTATAAATTCACAACAGCTATTTGCGTATAAAATATAGGTACTCGTACAGTCCATAAACAGCTTGGATTTTAATGTGGGCTTTGACTTCCCTTTTAAATGTTTCCTGTCGTGAGTACATATTTTACATTGCTCAAACAGGAACTTAACACTTGCGCGTACTGCATTTGTCTTGTCCCTTCCTTTAGTAATATTGCTACCACCAAACGGCTGTAATCAGATAGAGTATAGGAACGGATATATTATTTTCTGAACTAATCAAAGACTTACTACACATCCTTAGCTTCGCGGTCCCAAGGCTACATGCTGAGAACAAGTATGGGTCAATATCCTGTCCATTTCTTCATACTTCCGCATTTTTATCAATATTTCCTCCTCAGGCGTTTTCTTGGTATCTGAAGATCAATTCCTTTTTTGAATTGGTTGTATTTATACGATTTCGAAGAGACGACGAAACCGTGAAAGCTTGTTGAATAGCATTAGGCGAAATGATCATTATTTTGTGAGCGTAACTTATAAATTGTCATAATTTTTCATTTCTGTCTTAAATATTGTTATTCATTATTCAAATGTATAATTACAACAATCTGACACATTAATACATCAAAGATAAGTAAAATTAACATAATATTCTGAAGAAATAAAAAGAAACTATAAAAATGATCTAACTCCGAATTTAAATGATTCACGTGCGACATATAATTCTGACTTACGTAATTCCGAAGTGGCGAACACATTCAAACTTTCGGTTGTAAACGGGTTTCGAAATAACAGTTCTTCCTTTCACCTGGTTTTCCCCTTTGAGCCTGTTATTGTCTCGTCTAATATGACATAATCTTTTGTGAGTAGTAGGTCTAACAACTAGCGGATCCAAGATTTAATTTTGGGCGGGAGTGTTTCAACCCCAAACCTTTTGTTTTTTTATGTTCAACGATTATTACTTTCGAAAAAAAAGGAGAAAGATACTGGCTATCTATATGAAATGGTGTTTAAGTGATTCTTGAAGTCCTATTAATGTAATTATTCCTTGTAATATAATTACACGAACAATTATACTTATAGAGATAATTTTTGGATTTTCTTTTTTATGCGACATGATTATAGTTTACAATTCTGGGGGAGGAGCTTCAGCTCGAAAGCCCCCTCCTCTCCCCCGTAGGCTCGCCTGTGCGTAACCAGTTCTGTCACTAACGTCATAGAATTAATACCTCTTGGACATAGCTGGTAAACGACGTTTAACGTCGCATTATGGTTTAAACAAATACACCCGAATTGTGAAATTAAAATGGCTGTTATAAAATTCCTTCTTAATGTTAATTTCCATCCTTCAAAGCCACACCCCTAAACTCTAAATATCAGATATAATTTAAAATAAAGACCTTGATTCTTGAGTGAAATTAGTTTTTTTGGGTTTAGGATATTTAGGTAAGTAGGCCATACCATCTCTGAGGTCTGTGCTCGGTGAAAGGTGCCGTCCGCCTTGAAACCCGTGGATGATCACCTTCGTCTGGTGCCTTGGATTGAAATGGCTCTTGTACAGTGACTCGGGGTCCAAAGTGTCCAACAGATCCGGATTCTTCTGTGTGTATCTGTGGAAAACAATATGTTAAAAGAAGAAAGACACGAAATGAAGGAGTTAAGAATCGGGACTCGACTGACCTCGTGTAAAGATAGAACTGTATCCTGGGGTGCGGGCAGATGAACGGAGGGTCGATGCAAGAGGTCGTGTTGTACAAGTCTTGGACATTCCTCACTTGCGATTCGTTGTGAGCCCTCTGCCCGGAAGTTTCTTTAACTGCAACTGTAGAAGAGAAAATTATGAGTTTATGCTTGGATTGGGAAGTGAAGGAAATGATTACATTGTCATTTAAAGAATTAATTATTGTTGGTAAATGACCAGCGACATTAGTTAGGACATGAAGAAAGGTCGGAAGGAGAGAGTTGGGTCATGGGTCCCACCTTCACCCAGTCCCCGGGTTCATGGCCGAGCCTCCTCAGCTCAAGGTATATCTCTCGAATGCGTCTGTCATTTACGGTACCTCGTTATCTCCCAAAATTAGAAGAAACATTATTGATATCGTGAAAAAGTTCAGCTTATGAGTCAAGTTGAAGATCTGAAACATCGACTTGTAAAAGTTTTTTTTAAAGGAAATTATATCTAAGGCGATGTGTGATGCCTTCGTGAATGTATCTTCCCTCTTAAAAAAAAAAAAAAATGGTATTTAAAAGGACCAACTATGTGGGATTAATCAAATAACAATCTAATGCACATTTATTTGTTTTACCCCGTTATTCTTAAAATATAATATTTTTTGTCCATGCTATATTTAAAATGGCCTCACTCATATATTTCATGAATTTTATATTGAGAGATAACCGCTTCATTGAAGTAAAAATAGAATCAATGTGTACTGCCTAATTGAACAATAAATCGAGGCTATTTCTCAATTATTCATAGTGGCACAATAATAAGACAATTTTATTTAATAATAATCTTTTTATATCGCAACGAAATTAAATAAAATAATCAATGTAATTCAAGACTAAAAAATATTAAACTCAGGATCGGATTTATTTTATAAAATTATAATCATTTGAGAAATAAGAAAATGGATGAAGAAGCACAACCTAGAAGTTAAGATAAATGACTGAAAAACTATCCAAGTGGAAATCAAGACTATGAGAAAACTACTTTATTTTTTCCCCATACCTTCTATTTCTGTAGAAAATAGGAGTTTATAATCCGAACATAATTGTGGAGTATAAATTAATAGAATTTACGAAATGGAGAACCACACAGTTATATCTGAACATGTCTGAAAGCCTAATGCCTACTGAATTCTATCAAAATGTTTAACAATTATTTTCAGAACCTAATGAATTAATTTTAAGATCAGTTTTTATTGCGGTGTTAAAAAATAATTCGAAGCCCATCTTCAGCAATATTATTAAGTAAATAAATAAAAATATTTATTTGTGAAAAAAATATCTTCTTTATCGTATGGTTTTGGTTAATTTGGGTCTCTCATTTGGGATAGGATCAGTCCATGTATTGAATTTTGGAAAAGGTTATTCGAATGTATAATTGGTTGTGATGAAGAAAAATTTTGAATGTTGATTAAACATTTAAGAAATAGTTGTATTACAAAAATAAATTACAATTTAGCATGGATTTATATAAACATTTGTTATGAATATAACATTCTCTGCGCATTTCAAAAAATAAATAAATAGATTCAACCTCTTTGGAATATTTAAAAAAAATAAAAATAAAGTTTTCAATAGTTCTTTATTGGCCAGATAATTAAAGTAGTTTTTCGATATGAACTGCCCATTGTGGTCTAATTTAGTCTTGTTTTAGAAAAAGCTTTGTTTTCTTTAAAAAAAAAAAACTTTTTTTAAAAAATATATCTGGTTGGTAAAATAGTGAAACAACATAAGTGCAAAACTATCTAGGATGTTGGATAACCAGGATTTTTAGTCTAAAATTGTTTATTCTGGTCCCATGCATGTAAGTCATCATCTGGACAATGGTTTATGTCTAGCAGCATCAACAAGAATCTAGACTCCACTCAGTTTTCAATGGTACACGAGATAGAAACCATTACTTGGGTCGAAACATCGATTAACAGAATAAATAAAATTAGACCGATAATCCTGAATAGAACCGTCAACAACAATCCTTCTCTAAAGAAAGATCAAAACGTGTTGAATTAGGGTTATTCAACATTTGAATAATTTGTTTGTTCAATAATACTATTTTTTTTATACTCGATAGTATCTCTTTGTACTTATCTAATACTTAAGATTTAGGGCATGAAAAGCAAGCGACATGACTGCCTACGATTTTATTATGTTAATCATAAGTACACAATGCAATCTGAGAGAATGCATGTTCTTAAGATTTTATTAACGCAAAATGTTCAACTTTTCGACCCATGCATTCCACCAACCACAGATGGTCCACCTTATTTTTATATAAGAAGAAGACTTATATAAAAATAAGTCTTTCTGGACGACCGCCGGACAGAGTAGGCGAAGAAGACGGAGGACGCCTGGAAACAAGGACGTTCTACCGACACCCGTTTTGCAAGGAAGGATAAGTCACGAAATGATTATGAGCAAATAAATGATTTAAGTAACAAGGTTTTAACAATGATATTCATTTGGTTCATTTTGTAATTCTCTCTCTTCGGGTACACAAGGGCCGAAACTAGGATAACTTAATTTTGTTGCCCTTACATTACCTACCAACTCTCCTCTCCTAAATGAAATCAACAGTTTTTTAGATACAATGCTTGGAAAAAATATCATCTCACAACATTAACACTTTTTATCATGGGCCAGGCATCCTCAAAGTCGATGACGCATGAACCCCCATCTCTTCTTCCAAAAAGCTTTATAGTTTTCCTCATATTAATAACATTAGAACCGAAAGTAGAATTAGAAATATTGTAGATCATATACAATTACACTAGCTTTGGTATGCTCCATGATTTCCTGGTTTGGAATATCCTCCATGTTGAAATCTCACAAAAAAAGCTCTCCGAAAATTCACAACCCCACCAAAATATGTCTCCTCAAAATTAAAAACTCCTTGAAAATTTGCTTCCTCGAAAATGCTGATGCCGCAATGTGCACCATGCAACCTCCTTGGACAAGGAGAAATGTAGATTCAAATATTTTTTTAAGAAGAAACCTAGTTGAGATTCGTATTTCTCATCTCTGACAACTTCCAAATACGAATTTTCATACCAATCGAAAAAGAAGAATGTTTTACTCTAAATTCTTATAAATCCTGACTACCTTCCCCTTGTATTTTTTTAAGATCTCAAAATGTGTGATAACTCCCTGTATAAATTTTATGAGCACAGAGCCAAGTATTACTTTGTTGCTACCAACTGCAGAATGCGAGACTTTCCATAGTATGTATCGGGGACGCTTTTTATGCCTCGATTCATCGTTTAAAACATAACAAGTGTATCATATAACTTTATCACAGGTTATTGGACAGAATATCAAGTTACTACAAGTTGGTAATCTAGTACATAAAAGACTTTTGAGTAAGGTTATTTACTAACTCAACTAATCACTGGTGATGAATTATACAACGAATGTATAAGTGAGTTAGAAAGTCAAAATAAAAGCGTTGTATCAGAAACTAATTACTGAGTAACTCAGAATTGATTAGGCGTAACAAATAATGCTCTCATGTACGTAATAATTATATCAGAAGATCATACAACAGGATTGAGGAGGGATGGAGAGGAGCAAGGAAATTTCTGACCTCCAAATTCTTAAGGGGAGGCAGAGTTTCACTGACTTTTCCGATATTTCTGCCCGATATTATTTACATCGAGATATCGATCACTTATAGAAAACGATATTTTTTCGAGAAAAAAAATACTGCGAACAAGTCGGGTGCTACAATCATCGAATAAAACCAAATTTTTTGAAAGTGAACCGGTGCTGTGGTGTGATGTTGCAATCTACCTTATAGCGGATGTGGCTAGGTCAGCCGGACTCCTTCAATTCATTTTCTTGTTTGTGTTTGGTAACGCGTTGTTGTCTTTAGTGATATCGGCGGTTTGGAAGCATTTAAAAAAAAAAAACATGACTCTTCAAAGTTCACGTCTAACTTATGAGGAAAAACGCAAAAAACGAGTGATAATTCCATAATTTTTGTCTAGTTTCTTGAAATTATATATTTTTTTATTGAAAATTGTTATTAAATTGATATTTTTTCGTGAAGAGCAACATATCTACATTTAATTGTAGCTATTAAACCTTTTAAAAACCCAATATTTCAATTTTAATCACCTTAAAACAAGAAATATCGGTATTTACGTTCCTACTCTTTAAAGATTAAAAATTATGTAAGATAATGTATGCGATTTAAATTAACATAACTTTCAACAAGTCAAGAAAGTGGACAGTACCTGAAGGATAGTCGTAAGTGGACGTGTATTAATTAACACCTTACTTCCTAATAGGACTAATTAATTAATAACGTTGATTCATTAATCATATCTAGCCTAGACCTTGTTTGAGTAGGAAACTATCTTCGACAATGAACTGTGGTTCAATGTTTCTACGTAACATTAATAAAATGAGTAATCTCTGTCGTTCTCAGGAACCGCTAGCATTTAACAGAGCCCTTGTGAAGATTTGGAGTATCCAACTATAGTGTCGGACTTAGACATTCGGCGCCCCCATCCATGTAATGACATTATCTTCTCTAAAAAAAATAATTTATTTCTTAAGCTGTTTTATATAATGTAAGATTTGAATTTCATTTAATTCAATATTTCTCTAATACAATTGCTTTATTGGTAGGCTAAAATTAATTATTTTACTACGTTTGTATTTTCTTTTTTTATTTCTAAGAAGTAGCGAGCGCCCCATCTAAAGGCCGACACTGCCCAACTGTTGCAACCAAGGAGTGAAATCACCAACTTAAGTAAGTTTATTATTCATATTTGACATGAAATCTTCTTTGAATTTGCTAGGAGTATTCTGAAATTCCTATATAGTTGTTAAAGAATCCCAATCAAAAGAAAATCGGAATCTTGCAGATTCTTATTGGATTTATAAATATATCATGTAGATCCAAAATTCTATTACAACTATCGATAGTCAAAGGATCAAAGACTTCGGCGAGCTAAGTGCAAGGATGAGTTCAACTTTAATAACTTATGCGCAATAGCGGATCCAGGATTTAATTTTGGGTGTTCTTCAGTCCGAAAGTCATTTTTCATAAAAATGACGATAATTACTTTGAATAAAGAAATAAACTAACTG